GTAATTACCGCAGAAATAGTTTTTGTGGTGATTCACCTCAGAAACTCTTTCTGCGGTAATCACCAAAGAAACCTAACAAAACCAAAATCCCAAATGTGTGGAATAGTTGACAAAATCTGTGTGTAAATTATGTCAACACCATTGGCAACACTGCATATAAAGGTCTTTTAGCTAAAATCGTTTATAAACATAAAGATCTCACCTAAAACTAAAGAAGACCTTAATCTTTTAAAATTGCCATAAAATAACCTTGATTGTGCTTCATTTTACCAAACTTGGTAAAAATACGCATTTTTATGATTTTCAGCAAGGTGACCAAACGACAAATTCATTCATTTTAATTTGTTGTTTTTTTTCTGACATAAACATTTTTTGTTTGGAATTTTATAACTTATCAATGGATCAGCACAGCAAAAAGACCAAGACGTGTTTTTGTAGGAAATTAAACGCTCTACAAAAAAGGTCTCCTACAGTTTTATGATAAAAGCACAAATTAAAAAGTTATTCAAGGTCAAAGTTGAAATTACGTTTTTGCAACTTTTACATTGAAACTATCAAGTTACCTCAAAATTTCATAAGACCTTTTTTGTAGAGCGTTTCATTCCCCTCAAATTTTCTCCTACAAAGTTTTCCAAATTCCTAAAGGATCGTGAGTTATTTGACTGTAGGTGCCAAAGTTCTAAAGATCTTTGTCTTAACCTTTTGCAACATAACCTTCATGGTCGATTTGCAAAGATTTTTAAATCAAATTGTTCTTCTTTCGACACCTTTAAACATGGCACAACAGTTTTTCCACCCAGGTAACCAATACCTATTAACCATCATTATATTATCTGTATTATTTATAAATTTCATCACAGCACACTTAATGCTTATAATTAATTGTGTAGAAAGACTTTGGAAACAAAAAAGTTCGCTTGGCATTGCAAGCAGTAAACAAATGTGTTTGCATTCTTTGTCTAGTCGGCATTGGGTTCAGAATCTCCATGACGACGCGTCGCGTTGCCTGGATACGCGTGAAAGTTGACAAATCGTAGAGTGCCAATGTTCTGCGGAACCAATTAGATTTCGATTTTCAAATCGCTAAGTTTAATGTCAATAACAATTGTTATTTAGATGCAATGTTACACAATTTTATGTTTGGTATTCAAAGGATGATTGGCTAAATGAAAGTTACATAAATATATTTATAGGTACCTACCATTGCATTGACAAATTGAGTAAAACACCCTCTAAGAAAGACAAAAAATCATCCTTGAAGCTAATAAAGTGATGCCTCAAGGAAACTATTAAAGAAAATATACCATTAAAAATAACTACAATATACGAAGATCATGAAAACATTATTTCTTTATTATTAGGTAGGTAGGTAGGTATTTTCATTTAAATAAATTACCGTTGTTAAGAAATTTGTGTCAAGAATTTTATTTACTTACTTAAAATTCTATTAGCGAAACTATAGTTATATACATATATGTATACACATAAATAAGTAAACCTAATTAAATTTGCTTGTATAACTAGATAGGTATAGTTAACAATAAATCCAGTCATTAATTGTACACAAATATCCAATAAATTTAATCAAGTTTAATAACATCATCATCAATATTATCAAGTAGGTGGTGTTCTCAGGGTCAAAATAAACAATTGCGTAAACTGTCAACTGTCACAACAAGCGTGCAAATAAACTTTCATAGTGTTTGGGACAGGCGAAAGTGTTAAGCAATGTTTAATTTTAAAATTAAATTATTTTCGTTTTCTTTTACGATTTATTTGCCTTTGTGAAATTTCGTTTTCGACTATTTATGCAACCATCGGTAGGTATTACCCAGGTTAAACCTTTGGAAAAGTTTTACCAATAAATGTACAATATAGAACAATATTCCTATGATTTTTGTGCCACTGACAATTCAAATTGACAGTAAAATTTAATATTGATAATTTACTTGTTAATTATTATATAATATCGATATAAAAAGATAACTATGCCAAAAATAATATCAGATTCTAAAGTAAAAGAACTTTTATTTCGATGAAGTTATACCAAATGACTCAATGGCAGAAAAAGTACATCGCCTTATGTACATTTTTGGAGTAAAAAGTAACGTTTTTGGTTTTACAAATATTAAATCACACACAGTGGCGGCCCGTCAGGGGAGGCAGTGCCTCATCATAGAGAATTAAAAAATTAAGTATTATTTAAATATTTTACTTTCTATAATATAGGTACTATAAATTTTTAATATTTGGATTACATGAATTGTGAAATGGTCAATAAAATTGATTGATTTTATACGTGGAATACCCAGCAACATTTAAATTATTTGAATTTGAAACGACCGCAATTTAAACTAATATTTATAGCTAGATGATTGGCTCAGAAGCATGCCTGAACTAATTTAGACTCACGATTGGCGTTAGCCTTGTTGTCTCGTTCTATTACAATGCGATATCATAGTTGTCTCCTTCTCTCGTATTAGCATACGCGAGGCAGGCACGCCTACATCCAAGGAAATAAGCAGGTGTTGTGGCAACACTGTTGCGGAATTTTAGATAAATTATACTTTACACGTTTTTCAAAATTCAATAATAAATGGTATTATTTTTCTTATAATAAATCGATTTAATCGAATTATATTTCTATTCTAAAATAAACCTATTTTAACACTATCGCCATCTTGTAGCCATCACAGTAACCAATAAAATAAACACAGATTCCTTCTTTAGGTTTGTTTTGGTTATAAAATTCTGAACTGTTTAAAGAACAAATCTGTGGTTATTTACGCAATATTTTGTTTATTCTTTTTCTATGAGTTTGTCTATTTTATGATTCTTTTGTAAGTGGTTTATTCTGTGGGTTTAGTTAATTGAACTTGGTGATTTATGTGAATTTAGTCATTATGGATATTACGGTGAGAAATTGTACCGATATTGTTGACCTTCACGTGGTTCTTGCTGAACAATGAAATATTAATTAGACAAAAATGAGGTTTATTTAACCTTCTACTGGTGGCGCACGGCCTAACAGGCCCAAGCGATCTTATTTAGCGGATCATTATGAAAATAATTAAGAGACAACTCTGAATTTTTCAGTACCTTCCTAACTTTTTGCGTAGAAAGGTGTAGTGCAATGTTTATTTACTTACAGTTCTAACTTAAAAAGTTATAACCTAAAACGGCCTGAAAGGCCGGGCGCCACCATTTATGTTATACGACTATTTTGTGGTATATTAATTATTTAGCATATTTTTATACTTTATTCTATCCAATATGGTCATATTTTATGGGCTAATGAATGTGGCTGGAATAAATGCCCAAGTAATACACACTGCTAATAATTCAAATTATTAATGCGAAAGCTCTTGAAGAACGTTGCTATGTCCTAGTAGAAGCATTTGAAACGCCGTTCTATGGAACAAAATTTACCAACTGAGGTACGTCAAAGGCGACAAGAAGTAGCTGGGACTTCTACCGATAATGTTGAACCTCAACTAATTCCCCCTGGGACCAGAAAAAGGTGTGCAGAATGTCGCATAGACAGAAGGACCACACACTTCATAGCCAAAAATTTCTATGTATGACCCATGCCAAAATTATGTGTCATAATTGTGTGGAAAAAAATCAAAACCACGTTTAATACGATATTTTGTTATTCAAGCTTATAAACCATTTGTTTTTTTTGGTAGAATACATTTTTTATTTAGTTTTTTGAGAAATAATATTATGTCACCTTATAATCCTGTCCCCATAAAATTAACCCCATATTTCAAACATATGAGGTTTTTTTGTTAAAAAAAATCAGTGACCTTGGTCACAATAGGATTAAGTAATAAATTAAAAGTAAAAAATTCACAAAGAAAAAATACTAGCATAAATATGATTTTTTTAAATTTACGGGCCTGACAGGCCGGGCGCCACCACCAATGTTAAATATAAGGCGCCACTACTACAAGGTTAAAATAAACGTCATTTTTACAATAGAATATATTTCATTGACAAAGTAGAGGATTCCTTTCCCACCACAGTCTAAGTTTTTTACTTAGTATTAAGTATAGGTTGTGAACTGCGACGTCAGTTTTTTTAAGTTGGGTTTTAAAAAATTTCTTCGCCTTTAAATTAGGGCGAAACCCTGCCTCTGCCTCACCAAAATGAAACGTCACAGGCCGCCACTTATTTTCAGCCAAGTTGATCAAAAATTTTGAAATTAAAAAAAATAAGAGGTAAATAAAAAAACACAAAATAAAAAGTATTTGCTGTTAGGTTCAACCTTTTTCTGAAAAATCTAGTAGTTCATTTTCCTGTCAAATAGCATCCATTTGGTTTGAAAAAGATAAGCAATAATCACGAAACTTTTTCTTCTTTCAATTTGCAAGTTACTGATCATTAATAGTCATGGACAATATATACATTATAATTATTATTAAGCCACTACAAGTATTTACGTCCAGTGGCTTTAACAAAGTACCCATTCACCATTGGAGTCCAATGATTGGACAACATTCACGTGTGTTCACACAAAATTTCATTTTTTTTATATAAATTCTTTTCAAAGCGAAGATTATTATCCGCTAGGAATACTTTGTCTCTCCTGGGCCGTAGTCACCTATATTTAACTACTTTTTTATATGATTTTACTCATCTACGCACAACCAAAGCCAAATTAATTGCATTTTTAACTACGAATTTGACAACCGTTCAATGTAACCTACAATAATTTAAACACAACCGCAATTACATTATAATTAAATTCTTAATGTCGATAAAAAAGAAAGTACCTATATTCTTTATGTATAACAAAACAACTTATTACGCAATTTTAAACTATTTTCTACACATACTACACATTAAACCGAACATAATTGCACGCTTTTGAAGCATCAAATTAAAACGAAACAAACCAAATATTTAATAGACCACAACGTCGCGGTGTGCCACAGGGACCGCACTGTAGACCCTCCCTCGATCCAAAAAATCTAACGACTTCGATTTTTTTTCAGGCTGTGCCTTCTGTCGATGATCGCGCTGTTGCCGCTACCGGCAAGCTCGAAGTCGCGCCACCACTTCTACAACATCACCGCTTACACAAGGAACCTCCCGGAAGATTTGAGGCCTACCGTTTTGAGGGCCTTGGAGGCCGAAAGGAGCGAGGTTAATCCGGATTGCCGCGAGCAGGACGACGCGCCTTGCCCGCCCAACAAATTTAGGCAACCCGATGGGCATTGCAACAACGTCAGGCACTCTAGATGGGGCAGCAGGGGCTCAGCCTTCCTGAGGCTGTTACCTCCGAGTTATTCAGATGGTGAGTCGGTGGAAAGGTTTTTTGGGTCTTGGGTAACCGCCCAGACAGCAATATGACGTCTTAATTAAGTCTGCATAAGCTCTATTTTCTGATTTGGACGTCAAATACAACATCAGAAAGAAGTTTTTAAGAAGTTCTTAATACTTCGAATGCGCCACCTATTGAACTAATCAAGACTTCTCAAAAAAGAACTCTTGAGGAACCCTTTTCTTTGACTTCGCAATTAAGCATTTTAAAGAGTCCTACTGTATAAACTTATAAAAAGACTTCTTTAGAATTTTCCGTTTTGGATATAGAAGTACTACTAGGGTACTGATGAAGAAATTGCATACTGGATCGTTGCTTATTTTAACATGTCAAGTTTGTTTTATTAATTTTATTAATTTGTTAAATTGATTTTATTAAAATCATTTTAATAATTTGCTCGTATTCGCTTATTTTAGGAATTGCGATTATTTCGTCTCACTTTTGTTTAAATTCAAGCGTGCTCTTCACCGGCACCGATAGACGGCCTGTTTCGCTCTTGTGGAGCTCGTCAGGATCGGGTAGCCGTTTACCTAGGTCTAAGACCGTTTGGTATGGAGCACGCTCTAAATTCTACATCGCCGCTTCTTATATCAAACACAAGCAGTTACAGCGGTGAGAAGAAAGTAATCGCATTAAAATTTCATAAATGTGACGTCTCCATGTTGACTTCTAAAAGAGTTAATAGTATGATTTCAATTGGAAGTAAGAAAAAAGAATACTCTGTAAGCTCAAAATAAATAGTTAAAAAAAGAAAAGATCTTCATTTGTACGTAAAAAAATTGACTTCTTATTTATGAGTTCATTAACAGCTCAGAATTCTGAGCTCATAAAAAGGAGCTGTTAGACGTCATGTTAGAACTTCTACACGAAGTTGTTTAAAAGACTTCATACTGAAATCTTTCTGAATTGGATGCTGACTGGGCGGTCTACCACATCTAAATCGAAAATTATAATTTCAGTTTCAGACAGTGTTGCCACTTTTAGAAAAGTCATATTTATTGTATACGCTAAAGAAATATCGGGTTTTTGCAACATGCGCGCCTCTGGTGGACAACAATACATTTAAAGCACAGATTATACATCGTTTTTAAATAAATAGGTAGTTCTTTCACAAAAGAAGTCTTACTCGACAAATTTTGTTCAATTGCACAGCTAAATCGCTCACGTTATTTGTGTTTTACGTTGCAAGGAAAAAATTATAAAACTTTTTTAGTACTCGATTTCGATTGATTATTCTTTATATCATTGATTAAGAAACTCAACGCTTAAATGCTTATATAGTTACGTTAGTGTGTGTATTTTATCTAAGGGATCATGGTGAATTATTATTTTTTTAATTGTAAATAAAATTCAATAACTAAATCGTTGCATTTTCATGTTTTGCCAAAGGATCCAATTCGGTAAGTACATTTGAGGAGCATCCGTGCAAAACCGGCTAAATCCATTTTATTCAGTGTTTGTTTTTTTTTTGATTTCGCATCTTTGGGTTCATTTTTATCGACAACCAAGATAATTCTGTTTAAATCCGACTATATCCATGTTAAAATCACATTTAAAAGGTAGCTTTAGGAGCAAAACCGGCCAAATCCACGTTTTTATAGCAAACCCGGCTATATCCAATAAATAATAATATGTGGCTTGGATATGTCGATACTACTACTAAAATTTGTTCTGTTTTTTCATGTTTAATTTATTTTGTTAATATTTTTGAATAATAAAGGTTTTTTTCACATTTTATTCGTTTTTTATTCGGTTTTCGAGCAAAACCGGCTATATCCAAAAACTTTTTTGAAATTTTGGCCTTAATATAAATTTTTTGAAAACGAAAGTATGTCTTATAAATCAAGTACCACAAAGCCCACAAAACTCAAGTTTGCTTTTTCTTTTATCTGTAAAGGCCAGGAAACCGAGAGTTTTTGCCATTTTCCCAACATTTTATTAAAGTGGATATAGCCGGTTTTGCACGGATGCTCCTCATTTGTTGGTGCAGAATTAACTAATGATAACTTTACCTATTAAAATTTATATTTATATAAAAAAATCAACCATTTTTATGTTCGAGTTCTCTAAAAAACGCCGAAAACTGCATTTTAAACAACAAAATATACCTACGAATTCATGGCAACATAATATTATATATAATACAATGGTATTTTACCGTTGAGTGGAAAGTTTCTTAATCAACGCTTTTAATAATGCTAAATGCTGTTTAAATTTAGACGACTTATTTGTTTGACGATTTTTACTGAATTGAAATGTTTACACTTTACACTAAAATGTGCATTTATTGTATCTAATAGGTACAATTTATATTTACAGAGACTTTATGCAATTTATTTCTTCATTCAGATTAACACTGTTTATTGGAAAACCGGTAAAACTCAACCCAGGATTTCCTCTCGAAATATATTTATACACCCAACAACACAACAAATCGAGCCACGGTCATATTTAATAAATATTATTTATTGTATATATACTAGTATACTAGTATAATCTTTATACCTTTTACTTTCGTTCTGTCTTTCCTTCACATAATTTATTATTTTAAAAACCAATAAATAAAACCGATCACTTTCAAATTCTCTTGTAGTCCACTTAGCCCATCCAATGATGTTATTCCTTGTACAAATTTAAATAATCTTTTAATATCGAAGGTACTATCATCATCATCTTTGAAATAAGCCCAATACATTCTATGTTTTATTTATAGAAAGAAAGTAAGTTTGTGAAAGTACCTATATAACTCCATGTTAGATTAATTAATAGTATCAAGTTTTTCTTAACGGCAAACCTGATATTGATATGTCTAATAATAGCACTTGTATCTTATTTATTCATCGGACATGCCTGCAAACGAAAAATTATGAATAAAATTATTGAAATGAGGTAATGTCTCATTTTGGAAGAATACCGAGTAAAATTAAGTGCCGCATTTCACTTTTCACCATAAATTGATTAGGCAATCGCTATTTGATACGAAGAAGAAAGCGCTTGGCATTACTTATTGCATATATGTATATTCAATAAATTACACAGCCTCACAATAATCGAAATTCGAGAAATTACAAAAAAAAAACAAAAAAAATATAATTAAAAAATACGCTAAAGAAGTATCGCTAGTAGCGCCACCACTCGACTGTTATCATCGTAACAAAAGTACAACTTTTAATAATCAGTTGTCAAACGCTTATGTTACAAACGAGTGTTTTTGAGAAAAATATCGAAAAAAAAACCATGGCTCGATTTGTTGGGTTGAGTTTTTACCGGTTTTCAAATAAACAGTGTTAATCTGAATGAAGAAATTAATTGCATACAGTCTGTGTAAATATAAATTGTACCTATTAGATACAATAAATACACATTTTAGTAGTGATTAAAAATCGTCAAACAAATATGTCGTCTAAATTTAAACAGCATTTAGCATTATTAAAAGCGTTGATTAAAAAAGTCTCCACTCAACGGTAAAGTACCATTATATTATGCAGTTGTCGGCGTTTTTTAGAGAACTCAAATATAAAAATTATTGATTTTAAGGTTATGTTTGTGCAAAAATTGTTTACTAATTTCTTAAAAATGTCCAAACTTAAATATAAATTATATTAGGTAAAGTTATCATTAGTTAATTCTGCACCAACAAATGTACTTACCGAATTGGATCCTTTGGCAAAACATGAAAATGCAAAGATTTAGTTCTTGAATTTTATTTACAATTAAAAACACAATGATAAAATACATACACTAACGTAACTATATAAGCATTTAAGCGTTGAGTTTCTTAATCAATGATATAAGGAATAATCAATCGAAATCGAGTACTTAAAAAGTTTTTTATTTTTTCCTTGCAACGTAAAACACAAATAATGAGCGCGATTTAGCTGTGCAATTGAACAATATTTGTCGAGTAAGACTTCTGCCTTCCTCTCTTTTGTGAAAAAACGACCTATTTATTTAAAAATGATGTATAGTCTGTGATTTAAATGTATTGTATATCGTATACCAAACTTTGTAGGGAAAAAGTTGGCTAATTTCTTTTTCAACTATTGTTCTTTGGATACTTCATTCATAATATAACAATATTAAAAAAAAAAATCTTTGAAACCCAAAAAGGCATTGCTGCCTAGATACCTACTTACCACTAGATGCTACACAGCATTGCAAAATAGCAAAACAACGGTTGTTTCGCAAAGGTTATTCGAAGAATAAAAATATGCAGCAAGCTTTGGATGCGGGATGACGTCATAAATGGGAATGCCGGTTCACTTTCTCTTAGTTTGGTCAAGCTGTAAATAAATTATTATATGTCTCGTCAGAGCCGTATAAAATCAATTTTGCATTTAATACTTTATTCATCAAAGATAACAGGTTAAAACTTGGAAAAGAATTGCCCTTTCATCTTTGGAAAAGTTTTGCCAATACATGTTCATACAAGTCAAAAGACCTCTGAAACTCAGGAGAAGGACATCTCTCGAGTCCATGTAAACTGTCTAAAAAAATACCTTTTTTTTTGCAAGGCCACATATTTTTTTTATTTTATATTTATTTTACACTATAGCAAAACAGTTGTGTTACGTGTTATAATATTATGAGACAAATAGGGTTACAATAAGGCTATCAAGAATTATGTTTTATTAAACATTAAGAACTTATTGTAAAATTGTTTGTGAGTGGTAACTTTATATGTTATGAACAACTTCTAAAATAAAAAAAATCAATATTGAAATTCAATGCAAAAAATACAATTACCTTGCTCACTTATTTATTATTTTATTTTATTATTTTTAATGTGCTTTCAATAGGCACCAGGCCCAATTACAGAAATACACAATGACAAACACAAATAAACAACCATACCCCTGGTGGGATTCGAACCCACGACCTCTCGGCTTGTAGTCCGCAGTGCTAACTACTACACCACCGAGGGCGGTGCAGATCTAAACCCAATAAATCCTCTTTTTCCTCTGTGACATATAGGTAGATAATTTATTTTTAAATTGTCCTGCTGTAGTAAAAGCCTTGTACGCATAAACACTATTTACCTAGAAAAAGGCAGTTCTTCTTCTTCACTGCAACTTCATGCAACGAGATGAAATTCTGTAACAATGACAACAGTACTGTTCCAATTGTTTACAGTCAAAGAAAGTACTCTTGGGCGCGTTGGGTCGAAGAGCAACGGTTCTTCGACTCATACACAACAATGCATCTATTTATTTTCACTTTTGCCGATAAGAAAGCCGTTTATCTTTTAAGGCAAAACGCAGCCGAGGCAATCCAACTCCAACCACGCTCTGCCCAGCCCTCTGGACGTGGCTTCCACCCTTCAAACCATCCCATCGAGAAACCACGAGTCCGTTACGGCTCTTCTCGGCGCCTGGAGCGAGCTGCTGCTCCACGATCTGGCCAGCACCGGCAACCTCAAGAGCCAGGATTGCTGCAGCGACGAGGCCAAAACTCACGGGGAATGCTACGGGAAGTTGAGCAACGGCCAGTGCAGAGAGTACATGAGGACTCTGCCGGCTGTGGATAGCGATTCTTGTAAATTCAGTAAGTTGTTTGTTCGAACCTCGACTGAACCCGCAGATCAACATTGTTATGTTTTAGATTACCGCAACCAGATGAACTTGGCTACCTCTCACCTGGACGGTTCGGCCCTTTATGGGAACACTGATCAGCAACTGGAACGGCTTAGAACTTACGACGCCGGTTTGGTGAACGTTTCGGTGTGCCAACCGTGCCAAAGTAACGCCTTGTACAGCGCCATCCTCAAGGAGCACAACAGAATCGCGGTTAATTTGGCACAACTCAACCGACACTGGGACGACGAGACGTTGTTCTTCGAAAGTCGCAGAATCGTGGCCGCGGAAATCCAGCACATAACCTACAACGAGTTTTTACCGACAGTGCTCGGAGAAGAGTCTGTGACCCACTCGGAACTGGAGTTGAAGCACCACGGTCGCTACTCGAAGTACTCGAGCCATAAAAGAGCAGGGGTGTACAACGAAGTGGCCATGAGCGGCTTCCCCGCTCTACTGTCGATGATACCGACCAGTTTGGCCAACCAAACCGCCGAATCGTTCGCCGATATGATCGATGTTCTGATCACCACCCCGGCGCAAGTGCCTAGTACTCATATGATGGTGAGTTTGCGTTCCGATTGGGACACAGCCGCGTTGTTCTTGCACATGGGGCGCGACCACGGCATACCCCCGTACCCTCAGTGGGTTCAGTACTGCTCCAACTTGACGCACACCCACAAACTCAACTTCGAATTCGAAGACTTGAAACTCGTCGGCATCAAGCAGGAGTACATGAAAGCTTTGAAGTACTTGTACAGGAACACCGAGGATATAGACCTTCTGGCGGGCGTTCTGTTGGAAAACCCCATTCCCGGGGCTGTTGTAGGGCCCACTTTAAGGTGTCTCTTGAAGAAACAGTTCAGTTTGTTGAAGGAATCCGACAGGTTTTGGTACGAGAACGATTTACCCCCCAGCAGTCTCACAACCGAGCAGCTAAAGGAGATCAAGAAGATCACGGTGGCTGGACTACTGTGCGCCAACACAGACGACCTGGATAAAATTCAACCCAAGGCTTTCGTACAGGAAGACCCCTACCTGTAAGTCATCTTTAATACTTGAAAACTAACTAACAAACCAATTTATACAAACTAGAGTTGGGCCGGTCCAACATATTTCTTGTCGCAATCTTGACAGTTTATTTCGTAGATCCTCGACTTTTCAATTTTAGGAATCTTATCTTTGGGGTTGCCTAAAAGGGTCTGATCAGCATTCAAAATTCACTCACTGTAAAACTCACTTTTCTTTACTTGTAGAACAATCTACTATTAATGGGGAATATTTCTATTCTTTATATTACTTGTTTTTATAGCAACGCACGTATCTCCTGCGATCAACATCCGCTTCCGCAGCTGGCAGAGTGGGTTGAAATGGACCACATGACGGACCTAACTGAGGATTTGTTGATGGAAGCCGTCTCCAAAGGAGTGCAAGAAGTTCTGGACAGAAGAAAGGTCGAATACATGGCGTGGAGTAAATGTAAGATTGTGCTGCCGTTATTAAATTGTTACTTATAATTATTTTCGTCTTAGACGGTGGGGTGGACCCCAAATCCCCTGGAGGTACCGCCGCCTCGTTCAGCAAGGCCAACAAGCAAGCTTTACAGCTGGCAAACTCCTCCCTACTCTTTGAGTTCGCTTCCAATGAGATTGTGAACTCCTTGATGCACAAGAGAAGGAGGAGGCAGATTTTCGACAACAACGTTTTGTCGTCGGTTTTCAGGGACGAGATAACCGACGGTCTCCAACACGTCGACATAACCTCGTTAATTCCGCCGGAAACCTTCGAAGGCGATAACAAGTGCGACGAGTTGGGTCCGTGCGACCCCTCAACCCCGTACAGAACTTACACCGGGCATTGCAACAATTTACGCAACCCTTCGTTCGGTAAAAGCCTGCAGGTCTTCACCAGGTTGCTTCCCAGTGTGTACGAGGACGGTATTTCGAAACCCAGACTCACTGGGGCGACGGGGGCTCTCCTACCCAACCCCAGAACCATTTCCACAGTGGTGCACCCCGATATTAGCAATTTGCACAATCGCTACACTTTGATGACGATGCAGTTCGCTCAATTCGTCGATCACGATCTCACGATGACGCCGATTCATAAGGGTTTTCACGAAAGTATCCCGGATTGTAGATCCTGCGACAGTCCCAGAACTGTGCACCCCGAGTGCAACCCCTTTCCAATCCCAGCCGGGGATCATTACTACCCCGAAGTTAATATAACATCGGGGCAGAGAATGTGCTTCCCTTCCATGAGGAGTCTACCCGGTCAGCTCAAATTGGGACCGAGGGAACAAGTCAACCAAAATACGGCCTTTCTTGATGGCTCGATGATCTACGGAGAAAACCCTTGCGTCATCAACGGTTTGAAAGGGCAGAGCGGTGAAATGAACTACACTAAACACCCTATAAGAGGCAAACACTTACTCCCAAGAACTGACACTCACCCTGAGTGCAAATCAGAGTCGGGGTACTGCTTTATAGCCGGCGATGGAAGAGCCAGCGAGCAACCTGGATTAACTGCGATTCACACGATATTCATGCGGGAGCACAACAGAATCTCCAACGTGCTAAAGCAAATAAACCCGCACTGGAACGAGGAGAAAATCTTCGAGCAATCCAGAAGAATCGTTGTGGCCGAATTCCAACACATCTCGTACAACGAATTCCTCCCGAGACTTCTGAGTTGGAACGCCATGAACCTCTACGGGCTCAAACTATTACCCCAAGGCTACTACAGAGAGTACAACCCGTCGTGCAACCCCGGCATATTCACCGAATTCGGCGCCGCAGCCTTCCGAATCGGCCACTCGCTGCTGAGACCGCACATACCGAGGGTCAGCGAGACGTATCAGATCGTAGACCCCCCAATACTGCTCAGAGATGGGTTCTTCAAGACGGACATTATGATGCGAGCCGGTATGATCGACGAAATCAGCCGAGGTTTGGTATCGACGCCCATGGAAACGCTCGACCAGTTCATCACCGGGGAGGTGACAAACCACCTGTTCGAGAACAAGAAGATCCCGTTCTCCGGGGTGGATCTGATTGCCTTGAACATACAGAGAGCCAGAGACCACGGCATACCCTCCTACAACAACTACAGGGCGTTGTGCAACTTAAAACGTGCCACCACGTTCGAGGATTTGGCCAGGGAGATCCCGCCGGAGGTGATAGCGCGATTCAAGCGGATCTACGCTACCGTAGACGATATCGATCTCTTCCCGGGGGGGATGAGCGAGAGACCGCTGCAGGGGGGCTTGGTGGGTCCGACGTTCGCCTGCATCATAGCCACGCAGTTCAGGCAGCTGCGCAAGTGCGACAGGCACTGGTACGAGAACGAAGACTCGGCGGTGCGTTTCGCGGAGCCGCAGCTCGCTGAAATCCGCAAGATCACGCTGGGGAAGGTGATTTGCGACAACATGGACGGCCCGGCCGAGATGCAGCGCGCCGCCTTCGACCTGCCGTCGAACTTCTTGAACCCCAGGATCCCCTGCGAGTCGCATCCGGCCATCGATTTGTCGGCGTGGCGGGAGCACACCAGCAACGGGTGCGTTATAGGGGACCGCCACGTGCAAGTCGGGCGCAATAGCTTCCCCAGCCCTTGCACCAGCTGCGTCTGCACAAACGAAGGCGTAAGTACTCAAATATCCAGCCAAGAAACTCTAAATAAATATTTTCTTTCGTTTCAAGGGTAACTGCGCATCCCTGAGAGTCACGGACTGCAACCAGCTGCTGCGCGAGTGGTCCAAGGAGGCCATCTTGCGGGATGACGTGTGCACCGCGCAGTGCGGTTTCTTATTGGGCAACGACGGTTTTCAGAGCAGGCCTACCAACCTGCAGACGGACTTGAGACCGCCTCCGGCGCACGTGAGGGCGCGACAGTTGAACAACTTCAACCGTCAGTTCGGGGGATTCCCGCAAGGGTTCAGTTTCCCCGATTTGTCGCCGTTCATCGCGAAGTAAAGTTTGGACACTATTTTTTAGTTGATGTGCTTAAATTATTATTAAATTTTGTTATCTAAGTATTTAAGGATATTACCATAATGTTTTTGCTCAGTTCTAGCAGTGTATATATTTTGAAAGTTGGATCTCTTAAAGTTATTTTCAAAATCGCGCGCCAATTTTTAGACTTCGGTTTATTTTTTCCCTAGAGCATATACTACAAATAATATTACTACAATTATGTACGTATGCTCTAAGGTATATTTGTAAATATTATGTATTTTAATTTTAGGATGCGAATTTACGCAAAACTATCATAAAAAATGAATATTGAATAATTATTGTATTATAGACTCTTTCCTATTAATCTTATTTGTAAATATATATTCTTTTTAAAATTATTCGTTTTATTACAATAAGTGGCTTAAAATCGTTCGACATGTCGGATTTGGAAAAAGTAAGGTTAAATCAGCCTGACAGATGTAGAATTGATAAAAAGTGAGGTTAAAACCGCTTGACAGTTGTCAGATTATTTATTTGTATACAAGAATAAAAAACAATTGTTTAAAAATAAAATGTTATAAATATATATAATAATAACAAATATATTTTGAGTACTTCAACTTTTTGACACAAACTGTCAAAAAATACATCGTAGCTGAAGCGTTGTTTATTTAGTTTCCATGACAACCGTTTTTAGATCCCCAGCGTTGCCAAGTTTCTTAACCTTGAAATTCAGATCTTGAATGTCAAAAAATACTTGCCAGAAAAATGTGTTATTTTTCTGTATACTATACTATACTGTATAGCTTAAGTAAATGAGTAACCCTCGTATAAATTATGTGAAGCTAGCGTCATCCCGTTGACAAATTATGATCGAATTACGTAATTCGGCCATTTCAAGCGCGCGAAACGCATGAATTACAAAACTGTTTTTTATAAAAAAATTGTAGATTATTTATTATATAATATTTTGGCATCAAAATTGTCAAAAATATTCTTCTTTTATTAGGTTATACATTAAATAAAAAAAAACTCAAGAAATATTTTATGAAAGTAGATATAATTTTAATAATTGAAAGGTGTGGACGGGACAAAAAAAAGATTTATCTTGTCCCGTCCATCCCTGTCAATTATTGAAATTATCTCTACTTTTATAAAATATTTCTTGCGATTTTTTTAATTTAATGTATACCCTAATAATAGAAGAATATATTTGACAATTTTGATGCAAAAATAATATATAATAAATTAGCTACAATTTTTTTTATAAAAACAGTTTTGTGATTTGTCCCGTCCATCCGCTTGAAATGGCCGAATTACTAATTATTTCAATTTCGAACTATAAAGTCATTTGATTTCTGTCGTATGCTGAATTAAAATTGTTCAAACCATTTTACCATTGTTGAGTTCATTAGTTTTCTATAATTTTGTATGTCGATGGTAGCAGGTGACATTTGAGTTTTGACAGCTACTTAACCTAAAAGTTTATTTATGTTTTGATAATGATTCACGATGGATAAAGTGCTTCTTATTTTAGTTATTTTCGCGACATTTTTCCTTAGTTTAGCTTTAGCCGAAGATCAACAACAATGCGTGAAACAAGACGCCTGCCATTGTCAAATAAATGAATTTTCGAGAATTGATATCTCAAAATTAACTGATACCCATTTAGAAGATACACTTCTTTCTGCTAGATTAACGTATTATTTTTTTGGATGCAGTGATACTAAAAAGGATGGTTCATTTTTCGGATTAAATAGTACAAACATTTCTTATATTGGATCGGTAAGGATATACACTTTTTGGAGATAAAGTATGGTAACAATTTTTGTAGTTATTTCTTTTCAACCAAACAAATAAAAATGTGACAGTTCTGGGCACTACTAAAAATATGCAATTTGAGTTTATCAAGGATAATAATAATTATGAATTGGTTTATAAAGTTAAGGATAAGTAATTTTGAATTTAACTTTAATTTGATGAAATATGAAATATATTAACGTTTTAGTATAACTGCATATTTAACCCTTACTTGTGACCACACAAATCCAAGCTATATAAAAATTATCGATCAAAATTCCAATGTAAGTGGAAAATACTATATTTGGGACAATCTGTATAAAAAAATTAAATTTTGTTTTTTAGAGATTAGTGTTGTCATCTCCTCATGCTTGTATACTTAAAGAGCCGCACACCACCAGTACAGGGTCGGTTTTAGTAATTATATTTGTTGTGGGTTGTATGGTTTATTTCATTGGGGGAGCATTGATGTTATATTTCCTAAGGGGGGCTCGAGGTATCGAATTGGTGCCAAATATCGAGTTTTGGAGGGAACTACCTGGATTAATAAGGGTAAGTAGTTTTAAAAAATGTATTTTTTTAATATCTAACTTTTATTTTATTCCAGGATGGTACAATTTTTCTATTCAGTGGTTGCAGACCTACTTATGTATCAACTGCCGAAACATATGATAGAATTTAAGAAATTTTTGTATGAAAATCTCCATTATTTTGACTGAGAATGTTTGTTGTAATATATTATGGAAAATTTTGATTAATTTAATTCACTCATTGTTGTAGATTTGGTAATTTAGAAATCAATATTAAATGTTTTATTATAAAAAAAATGTTTTTATTTTTATTATTAGATACTATTATTATTGGCTGAAGAGTTAAAGGCTACTTTTATCCTAAAAAATTGCTTCTGTGAGACATTTTGCATAACGCAACCAGTATTACATCAACGTGTAATGTGGTAGGTATACATTCATTAGCACCGCAAGTAAAATAACCTAAATATATTTTGCTTCAATTCTTCCACAGTAAGCAAACAAAATGTCATTGGTTAATTCAAAAAATATACAGTATGTCCCTGAATTGAGTTAACAGGGGGTCAAGTCTGAATATAAAAATTACGTTTTTAACTAAAATGACTTTTTCGTATACGTATTTTCTAAATGAATCGATTTCATGTCTAATTTGTGAACATCTATAGATAAAAACGCATTTTTATGTTAATGTTATTTTATCAAAAAATTCTGAGCTGTTGGATTTTGATTATGGCAGTGGAATGCCATATTATCGTTTCCACATGCGGGGCTTCCCCCTTTTTAAGAAAAAAATTATTAGTTTTATCTTGTTTTCTATTTGTCGCACGAAGAAAGTTTCAAAACAAAAAATGTGTAGCTTGAAATTTTTAACATATTTGTTTATTTAATTGGTTAAATATACCATTAAATAATAAAAATGTCAATTTTTGTCTGATGTATTTTTGTACAAAAAATATTTTCGTCGTATTTAGATTTTCCAGGATAGAGGACGGCTTTCCTTCGCCGAAAAGAATTTGTAAACAACATATTGTTTCTAAATTTATTTATTACAAAATTGTATATACAAATAATTGCAATTTAGGTTTAGTTGCCAAATAAAAACCCTAAATTGGCCAACATTGAATAAAACAAACTAAACTTGTGAAAAATATTTTATTATGGTATGGTATAAGCTGGTTTTCTAATGCTTTTGGGATGTTTCAATCCTGTGCCATTTCATATCAGCAGCATATGCTGCAATTTGAGTTTCTGTTATGGACTGTCCTTGAAGATCATTAGCTTCCTTGTCTTTTGTTTATTGGAAAAGGTCTTTTAAGTTGGATTTAGTGACCTACCTGGTGATTGATTTATTGTCCTGCTCAGCTATAATCCCGTGAATGCCACCGGTAAGATTTGAGAAAGCTTGGATTTATTGTTTTGTTACTACTAGGTATTTATTATTAATGTTGTTGTTGCTCTGTTTTAAATTTTTGTGTGTAGGTATCTGAAAGTGGTTAATGTTGAAAATGTACGTATTAGGTCATGCAGTTAAGAGTACTTATCAAATGTTTGCAGATGATGGCCCTTTCCACTCGTTTTTTAAGGGAACAAACGAGTGGAAAGGGCCATCATCTGCAAACATTTGATAAGTACTCTTAACTATGTAGAGCTACATAGAATGCTTCCTATTGTCAGGTGGTTCGTCCGCCAGGTATGCTGTCACTTATCACTTTACACTCTATTACTTTCGGGACAGTAAGGTAGATACAATGCATTATAGTTTATTTCCACTGCAGGAGTAGTTTATTTTGAGTTCGAACGTGACTGGTAAATAAAAAAACCATACAAGACACATAAAAATTTATTGTAAAAATCCACAAAACACGACTCAACAACCAAAACTCGGAATATTCGGCTTGTTCGACAAGGAGAACGCGACCTTGACCGAATTGACCAGCTGCAGCTTCGTGGGGCACATCTTGTAAGCGGCGTGGTGCGGCCCGCCGCAGTTGCAGCACACCGGGTTGTTCTTCGGCCGCGGGCACGCCTGAACCTCGTGGTTGCCGCCGCAGCGGACGCATCGCGCCGAATGCCTGCAGTGGTTGGCCGTGTGCCAGAAACCCTGGCACTTGTAGCACTGGATTATCTCGTTGTTGTAGTGATCGTTCATGCCTTCGGTCAACGCCGAGAACGTCACGCAGTTGTAGAAGTTGAGACCCTCCTGCAAGAGTCGCTCCAGGTGGCAGGAATTAAAAACTTCGACCCTGACGTTGTTCTTCGACCTGCTGATCTTCCCGAAGTGAATCCCCTGCTGCTTCAAAGCGCCAGACAGCTCCTGGTTCGATATGCACCAAGGCACGTTCTTGAACGTCACGTGGTGCCGATACCTCTTGTCGTTGTTGCACAGGTTGCCTACCTGCACCGGCACGCCGAACATGTTGCGCAGGTCCAGCTGCAGCACCTTGTCGAAGTCGTGCTTGTCAGTGAACACGGCTATTATGCCGTAGTTGGCCGGTTTGAACTTGTACTGACCCTTCAGGATGCCTTTGATGCCGTCCTCTAGCTTGTCTACGGTCACCATGTGGTGCGCCTGCGTCGAGGTCAAGTACAAGCAGTAGAACTCCTCTATGGAGTCCAGAGACGACTTTTTGTCGCAACCGTTCTTGTTCGCCTCGTTCGACCTCGGTTTCGGTTTCGCGCGGTTGTTTTTTTGGTTTCTGTACAACTTTACGGGCTTCCAAGTCACCAGCTTCGTTTTTACGCTGTTGCCGCCGGTTTTGATATCGCTAAAAGACTGTTTAAAATTATTAATATTCTGTCACCTAGTAAATTTACTTATAAAACAATGATATTATTCATCATTCAAAATCGGTTAGTAGGTACTTTATCATTGATTAATAAGTTTGGTTGTTATTATAGTATACTATATATGAGCATCAATCTACGTAAAAATAAAAAAAGTATTGTTTTATTCAAAGTACACAGAAAAAAGGAATGGTTAATTTAACTATATTAATTTAGTTGACCCATATTTGTTTAAATCAACTGTGGAAAGGTTAATATAAACAAAGATTAGTGTGACGGTACTAAACCAGATAGTTATTTTATTTTTTTAAATTGGTTAAATTAACCCAGAAAACTTTAGTGAAACCGACCCGCTGTATGGTTCAGTTTACTAAATATGTTTTTTGTAAAATAAGAGTTACTTCAACCTTAAGCACTCTGTTAAAACGATTAAAACAATTTGCCGTGCATTCCTGGTTGCATAGTGTGTACCGATCGCGGCAAAGGCGGTGTGGATCACGTGATGTTCTTAAATCTCGCCTCTGTTGACTTACATGGAGAGTATATATATATATATAAGATCAGGTAGTCCTTTGCTTTGGTATGACACTACACGTTGTTCTATACTAAAGAGGTCTTAAATAGGTGGAAACAGCTGTCAATACTTAAGGTATATTAAGTTGGTGGAACGCACTAAAAACATTATCTCTAGCGAGGTGAAGGTTCAATTTTCTGGAATAATACCACTGGTATTACCTCAACTGTTCTTCAAGAATTTAAGAAAATAGAAAAAAATGTTTCTACTCCAAATATTTCAATATCTTATTTTTATTCTTAGGTATATAAATGCGCCAAACGCTAGGGTAACAAATTATATTCAGTCAATTCAACCAAATGTATTTAGTACTTTGTAGTGGTAGGCAAAGGTCACTTTAAGTATATAAATGTTTTAACCAAATATATGGTTGTTAAAACAACTAAATTTTTGGTTGGCTCTATTGAAACAGCAGATTTAGTTAAATGAAACAAATAATAGTTGGGCTAACTAAACCTTTTTTTCTGTGTACCTAAAAATAGCTGAGTATGCAAAACAAAAAACAATTATCAACAAAGTAATCAATGATAACAGAAATGTAAATTTTTAATGAATGTAGATTATTGCCCACATATTTTGCATCAGTTGTCATAGATCAGGAACTTTACTTTCAAAAATTATTAGGATTATTCAGTATAACTATGCAATTCATGAAACACCCTGTATGTCTATTAAATAATAAAATAATATTCCTCCTTACACTATTACTACTGGACGTTATAATTTCTGAATATAACTTCTCCAGGTCTTGGTTGCTGTCACTGCTTTGATAATCTATCCCCATCCCGTCCATTTTGTTTTTTGTGTGATTCGCTTAAATTAGTCATTGGTAATATTCTAAAAAAAAAAGAAAAATTTTAAAAATATAATTCGCTTAATGGTGTCGTGCGGCCACCAAGATCACCGGATCTAAATCCTTTGGATTAATTAAATTAATTAATTTCTACACACTGTACCTATAGATAATTTTGTTGCGCAAAAACATGTGCAATTATCTTGAATTACATAAGTGGGACAAGTGCACCAACTAAAAGTAAAGAAATAATTTATGTGTGATTATTCATATAGTTTTAACAAAGACCATATTCTTGTGTATATATGAACTTTTACTTGTGTTTGATGAATAATTTATAAGTTGTCCTGATTTCCATAAATTTTATTTACAAGTCAATGCACCAAAAAAACTCTTCTCGATGATTGCTATGTACTTATGGTCAATGTTTCCTAAATTGTTTCCTCAATTTATTTTTACAATGATCTGCAAAACTATGGAACAAATTTATAGTTTTTAATTATGTTTTGATGTTTTATTAAAATACTTTTTAATGGGGTTTTGACAAATTAAAAAAGTGTTTATACCTAGAAGAAACGTTCATAAACTTTCTCAAAATATTTCATTTCAAGGTCAAACTTTTTCAGTTTATTATTGTTTTTTATTATTCTAAAATGTACACTGAGAGAACAGTTTATTAACAATTAACTAGATTTATCAATAACTAATAAATGCTTTATTCGATTATGGCGGAATAAACATTTATTTAGGACAAACAACGCATTGATTAAAATTATTTAAATAAATTTTTTATTAAAAAATAAAGAAAAATTTATAATAAATATGTGTAAACTATGTTAATTTAAAATAAAGGAAATTAGACTATGATTTAAAATAAGCTTTAATTACTATTTAGAATAAAACAATCAAACAAAAACTAAAGTCTAGTGTATCTATCGAAAGGTTCTAATTGAATGCCCTGCTTTTCTTAAAAACGTATATTCGACACTTGCCGACGTCGCCCGCCTCTCTGCCAGACATAAACAAACAAATAACTTCGGAGGGCCATAAATTGTGGTCCTAATCGACGTGTTGACAACGTCTTGCAAACAAGGGATGCATTCATATGGCTACAGTCGGCTAACCTGACAAATCTTCACGTCCTCGTGAAGAATAACCTGTAACACACACAAAAAAAACAATTAGCCTACTTTTAGTCAGAAAACGAAATTATTCGTTAGAGGAACTGCTATCGTCTGACGATACTTTCGTAACGAACAATTTCATTTGGTCAGAGGGACGAATCCCCGTATAAACTGTTCTCGAACGTTTCGAGCCAGGCAACTCTGCAACCACGTAACGGTCATTATCGAGTACTTTCGTAATGACAAAGGGACCTTTGTACTTAGGTTCAAGCTTTCTGCTATGACCATCATTAGAGCCCTTAGCCCTTCGGACAAGCACATGTTGTCCAACTCCAAACGTAATTGGAGAAGCATGCTTTTTATCGTAATACGTCTTTTGGTACCTTTGCTTATCTTTTATCTTTTCAGAGACCTCAACTCTGAAAGTTTCTAAATCTGGACGTTCGTTATCGTCGCAGACCTCAGCCGTCAAAAAGGCATCGTTAACTCCTCTAGGACGGTATCCTAAAAATAATTCATAGGGACTTTTCCCTGTGGTGGAATTAACCGTCGAATTAATTCCCCATTTTACAGCTGCTACTGCCTCGTCCCAACGATTTTCGTCGTTAGTTGAAGCCATAATCGCCGAAAGAATGGAACGATTCATTCGTTCTACCTGACCGTTGGCGCGAGGGGTTGCGGTGGCACACAACACTTGTTTAACACCTAAAGTTAAACAGTATTCTTTAAAATTCTTGCTTGTAAAAGCCGTGCCACGGTCGCAGATAAATCTGCGGGGAACCCCGAACATTTCTATTACCTCATCTAGAAATTTCAATACAGGGCCGGTTTTTGTATTAGGAACCGCCTTTAAAAATACAAATTTGGTAAAGCCGTCAACTGCTACTATAAGATACGAGTTTTTCCTAATACTATTTATGAATGGGCCTACATGATCCAAATGTAATGTATCCATAGGTCTAGGCTGTTTTTCTATAGGATTTAGACTACCGGGAACTTTACCAGAAGGGGTTTTATTATAAAGACAGCCCAAACAAGAATTAATGTAATTTTTAACATATCGGCGCATCGACGGAAACCAATATCTTGAACTTATCGATTCCACAGTTTTATCTACTGCAAAATGACCGGCATCATCATGATAGTACATAAGTATTCTTCGTCGAGCTGTTCTTGGAATAACCCATCTTTTTCCGTTCTCTGTTTTTCGATAAAGTCGTCTATCTCTTAAACAATAATCCTTATGGATCCTTCGTTCATCGTTATCTTTAGGTTCTCTTAACAAAATATCTATAATGTTTTTACATGTGTTGTCTTGGAGTTGCGCTGAAAGCACCCAGTCATCCTCCTCAATATTTACAATCATTACGTCAAGTGATTGATCTGTAGGTATAATGGTACTTCGGCTCAATGCGTCTACATGGCTCATTTTAGTTCCGGCACGGTATTCGATATCAAAGTCAAACTCTTGAATTGATAACCACCACCTAGCAATACGGGGAACTAAGTCTCGTTTCATAAGGGTGTGACGTAGTGAGTTACAGTCGGTAACAATTTTAAACTTTATACCAATTAAATATATCCTGAACTTCTTTAGAGCGCATACAGCGGCTAAAGTTTCAAGCTCATAAGAGTGGTATTGTTGCTCTTCTTTGGTGGTGGCTCTACTAAAATATTGCACTGGTTTAAGAATATTATCCTTTTGCCGTTGTAAAAGGATTCCCCCTAGCCCAACCTTACTGGCGTCACAATGTACTTCCGTTTCCGCTTCTCTGTTATAAATGGCCAGAATGGGCCGTTCTACTAGCTTCTTTTTTAAATTGTCAAACGTACTCTGCTGTTGTTCTTCCCATACAAAGGGAGTGTTTTTGCATGTTAGCTTAGTTAAAGGCTTAGCGATGGCGGCGAATCCTTCGATAAATTTTCTAAAATAACTGGCAAGTCCTAAAAATCGCCTAACTTCGTGAACATCCTTGGGTGCTGCAAAATCTGCTACGGCTTTTATTTTATCGCGACCAGGTCTAATACCCCCTCCAGTTATTTCGTGACCTAGGTATTCAATTTTAGACTGAAGAAAATGGCACTTATTAAATCTTAATGTCAATCCAGCATCTCTAAAAAGATTTAGGACATTTTCGAGCCGTTCCATGCCTTGTTCTAGAGACACTGACGGTATAAGTACATCATCAAGATATGCCATCGCACTGTCAAAGCGTAAAGGACCTAATATTTTATTCATAGCCCTTTGGAAGACTGCTGGTGCATTTACCAACCCAAAAGGCATCCTTAAATATTCGTAATGGCCATCTGGAGTTACAAAAGCAGTTTTCGATATGGAACTTTCTTCCATCGGGATTTGATGATACCCAGAGGCGAGGTCTAACGTTGTATAATAAGTATTTCCTTCTAGATTATCTAGAAGGTCATCAATTCGTGGCAGTGGGTATTTATTTTTAATAGTTTTGCGATTTATGGCCCTATAATCTATGCACATTCTTTCTTCGCCGTTCTTTTTCTTTACTAGCAGTATAGGACTAGCATAAGGAGACTCTGACTCTTGAACTATACCATGATCAATAAGGTCTTGGACTATTGTGCGGACTTTTTCGCGTTTTGTGAAAGGCATACGGTAAGGGCGATACGTTACTGGTTCACTATCGGATAGTGAGATCGACATTTCCGTTACGTTTGTTTTACCAACCTCCCCTAAGTTTGTAGCAAAACAATCCCTATATTCGTTAATTAATTTAAGTAATTTAGAACGTGTAATGCTGTCTAGTTCTAAATTAGTTTGTCTTTCGATATCTAATAATGTAAAAAGTGGCAAATCAGCAATATTTGTTGTTAAGCAAGTTTTAGATGGTATTTTCGAATCTGCATTACATGTATAGCCTCTGGCAAGTACCCTGCCTTTTTCATAACAAACAGGCTTATCGGATATATTGGCAACAGGGATGCTACTACTATTATTCATATTTATAACGCACGGTAAAATAATGTGAAAATTATTATTCCAATTTCGATACTTTAGATCTACAAAAACATCCCTAACGTTTTCATGTCTAATTAGCGAAATATGACCTATAAAATTCGGTGGGATAATAGCAGTTTCCTCGACACATAAATCAATTTTCTTAGATAAAAAGTCATCGATATTGGTGATATTGACGTTATTTTGATTAAAAAGTCGGACCTGGTGACCCCTAACTAAAACTGTGACATTATCATTATTTAAAAATGGCTGGCCTATAATAATAGGAACATCCTGTACATTATCAGGTACCACGAGTGCGTCTACGGTAGCAAAAGCTAAATCAACATTTAATTTTATTGTAACCTTTGAACGTGCTACAACAGAACCTCCTGCATAACCACACAAACGTACTAGTGTAGGTTCACCCTGTAAATTTAATTTACGCGCATCCGATTCACGAATTGTGACTGCGGCACAACCTGAATCTACAAAGCCCCGTATAGGTTCATCGTTGATTATACAATCAATAAAATAACAAGTACTAGACAACTGATTATTTGACAATATTAAAATTGGTTTCGACTCACCCTTATTTTGTCGATCAGCTGGTCGTTTTCCCACATTTACAGTGCAACGATCGGCCTCGTGTCCTAACAGATGGCATTTTGAACAACTAACACGTGGTTTCGGACACTTTGACTGAAAATGACCTTTCATTTTACAGTTAAAGCATCTCACATTTAAAACATCTGATTTTGCGTACGGTTTACTATTACGTGTAAGTGAATGACGTAAATCCACTTTTGGGGGTCGCCTTATCGAACCCTCTGTCTTTTGTGTCGATACTTCAATGGTACTTTCCTCACGTAACATTGATAAATATCCTTCAAAAAGTTTCTCTGGTTTGTCATAACGACCCGCACGAGCAGCATTTTGAATAGCGGCATTTGGAATACCATCTATTATGCATGAAACTGCATTCTTTCCTGTTACTTGACAAGTTCTTAATAATTCCATCTTGCCGAAATAATATGCTGTCATTGTTTCAGTTAACAGTTTTTCTCTGTTTAACATTTTCCTAAGGGCCTTAGCGTAATCGACATGGTCGGGAAAAGTCTTGGCAACTAAAACTTTCCATTCGGGCCAGGTATGTCGTATCGAACTTAAACTGTGATACCAAGATTTCGCCATTCCAGAAAATCGAGCTTGCATGTGGTAAATTGTCGTTACTTCGTCCCAATCGTTAATTTGTTTAAGCTCCTCAATTTTCTCTAGCCACTTAACGGCGGACATATTTTCATTTTCGGGACAAAATTCAGGAATACAATCACTCTTTACTGCTAACCTACGATTTCCGGAATTGTGATTTTGATTCGACATTCCCGCTATTATTGTTTCTAGTTGTTTTATCCTGGCCTCGTATGTATCGCTCGAACATTGGCTGGACCTAGTATTTTCTTCAATATCGCTTTTGTTTGATACGTAACTCAAACCGCGAGATGTGCTTGATGCTACCTTTTCTCGCGACGTGCGTAACTGTCGCTTGCGTGTACCGGCTCCTTCCTTAGAGGGTGGCCTATTGTCTCGTCTCGGTGGAGTATAGCCCCGTTCAGATCGCGTACGTCTGTATCTGTTATCAGTAGAGCTTGACGATTCGCTGCTGGAATCACTACTCGAAGAGCTAGAGCTACGAGGGCGACAACGTCGTTTTCCTTTGCCCATCGTTTCTCTTTTTGTTTTACACTCACGTAACTTAACACTAATCACTAAATAATTAACTTAACTAAAACACAGGTAACCGTAAATTCACGTAAGTTTACCCCGCACCTGAACTGTAAACTATGTTAATTTAAAATAAAGGAAATTAGACTATGATTTAAAATAAGCTTTAATTACTATTTAGAATAAAACAATCAAACAAAAACTAAAGTCTAGTGTATCTATCGAAAGGTTCTAATTGAATGCCCTGCTTTTCTTAAAAACGTATATTCGACACTTGCCGACGTCGCCCGCCTCTCTGCCAGACATAAACAAACAAATAACTTCGGAGGGCCATAAATTGTGGTCCTAATCGACGTGTTGACAACGTCTTGCAAACAAGGGATGCATTCATATGGCTACATATGTTTTTTTGTTAATAAATAAATGCTTTTTTATAATAAATAAAGATTAATTTATAATAAATGTGTTTTATTTGTGATAAATAAATGCTTGTTTATAATAAATACTAAAATATTTAGTAGACATAAAACTTCATTTGTAAACCCTATACTTTAATTCACTATAAATGTATCCAGCAAGTCGTTGAATCCATTGCTTCCTAAAAATTTGCATAGCTCGTCCATGGTTTGCAGATCTTCCATGCATGTTTGGATTTTTTAATAATCGCAGAGATACACTAGCCGGCACACAGGAAAGAGCCGGTATTTGCATAGCTCGTCCATGCTTTGCAGATCTTCCATGCATGTTTGGATTTTTTAATAATCGCAGAGATACACTAGCCGGCACACAGGAAAGAGCCGGTATTTTACACTGGCACTATAGGTACAATTTAAATTAATGCTATTACAAAAAGATTGCAAACGAAACACTAATGCATAGATAAATAACAGTGCAAAGAACAGAATCACTAAACTTAACAGTACACAGAACAGAATCAGTAAACCTGGCAAGGCAAGTGGTACACCATACGCACGCGGTACACCATGCACTATTCGAGAAACGTTTATGCTGTTTTGGTGCGTTTTGACAGAAGTTTGAGTACAGTAAACAAGAAATAAATATTTATTTATTGTTAATATTGATTCCTACTTAAAAATAAATTCGAAATTTATAATAAATAACTTTTAAAGATCGCCTAAGCAAATAGGTATTTATTATTCCCAAATTTGCATTATTAATAATAAACATATGGGCAACAAACAAAGTATTTGTTTCTGCTAAATAAAATATATTACGCAGATTATTAATAGTTAAAAAGGTTGATTAACAATAAATTTACTTTATTTATTGTAAATAAATGCTATCCAAATAAAGATTTGTTAACTATAAACTACACTTTTTCTCTCAGTGTATGGAATATGTTCTTTTTGCATTAAATCTGATGAATTTTGAAAGAAAACATTCCAAATTATAATGTGCGAAAAAAAACTAGAAGAAACGCGTAACTTTTAAGTGAATTAGTCTTCAAAATCTGTACTCAAGTGACTGACTGAATGACCATTGCGCCTCTAACTATTGGAAATACGAAAAAAAACTGTCAATCTGTCAACCGTTTTGCCACGTTTTGATTTGAGATTATTTATCGGAGTATTGGTGGATTGCGTCACAGTCCCGAAAAAATTGATAATTATCACGTTATAAGTGTGTTTTCTTCTTACTTTGCCGCTGTAACACCCGAAACGAAAAATCATGTAATTGTTTCATTATTATACCTCACATATTGATTAGTATAATATTTAGTAAAAGTAACGTTATGGTGGTGATTTAAAATACTAACTAATATCTGAGCATGAGACTAATATGATATGTTTTTTTTCTTGATTAAAAACTGTAACACCCGAAACGCTAGCGCCGCCATCGGAAAAGCAGTCACACCTCTTTTAAAGAGGTGTGACTGCTTTTCCGATGGTGTTGTCGAACCTACGGAAATTTCGGTTTTTCTACCTAAATGGCAACGGACCTACCAAAATACCGAATACTTAGATTTTAGTCAATAATTTTGTTTCTACCAATTTTTGGCAATAATAACTATTTTACCCTTTTTACCGATTTATCAATCGCACCCGAAGCCTCTTAAGTTATGTTTAAGGAGAATTAATTCTATTTATGTTTATTTGTTACTAACTTATTTTGTAGTGCCTAAAGACTAATAATAACACCCGAAACAGAACCATGGTAACACCCAAAACAACGAAAATTTTTATAAAAAAAATTGTAAAACGTTATTTTTGACTGTGATTATGTAATTTCTAGGAATGTTTTCATAAGAAAATTCGCCGAATTTCAAATAAATGTGACAATGGTCAGGAGATAGAGGCAGAATAGTGAAACACCCGAAACGCGCACTTTTTGACTTATAACATCATTATCCTATATGCTAAACTGTACTAATTTTACAATTTAGATAAAACAACTAAAATCGTAGAGAATAAGGCACTTTAATTGCTAAAATGTTATTTCAAAATACATAAAAATTTAGACTTTGGTTCAGTGGCGGCCCGTGACATTTCATTTTGGTGAGGCAGAGGCAGGGTTTCGCCCTCATTTAAAGGCGAAGAAATTTTTTTAAACCCAACTTAAAAAAACTGTCCTATACTTAAAACTAAGTAAAAAACTTTGACTGTGGTGGGGAAGGAATCCTCTACTTTGTCAATGAAATATATTTTATTGTAAAAATGACGTTTATTTTAAATAAACCTCATTTTTCTCTAATTAATATTTCATTGTTCAGCAAGAACCACGTTGAAGGTCAACAATATCGGTACAATTTCTCACCGTAATATCCATAACGACTAAATTCACAAAAATCACCAAGTTCAATTAACTAAACCCACAGAATAAACCACTTACAAAAGAATCATAAAATAGACAAACTCATAGAAAAAGAATAAACAAAATATTGCGTAAATAACCACAGATTTGTTCTTTAAACAGTTAAGAATTTTATAACCAAAACAAACCTAAAGAAGGAATCTGTATTTATTTTATTGGTAACTGTGATGGCTACAAGATGGCGATAGTGTTAAAATATGTTTATTTTAGAATAGAAATATAATTTCGATTAAATCGATTTATTATAAGAAAAATAATACCATTTATAATTGAATTTTGAATTTATCTAAAATTCCGCAACAGTGTTGCCACAACACCTGCTTATTTCCTTGGATGTAGGCGTGCCTGCCTCGCGTATGCTAATACGAGAGAAGGAGACAACTATGATATCGCATTGTAATAGAACGAGACAACAAGGCTAACGCCAATCGTGAGTCTAAATTAGTTCAGGCATGCTTCTGAGCCAATCATCCAGCTATAAATATTAGTTTAAATTGCGGTCGTTTCAAATTCAAATAATTTAAATGTTGCTGGGTATTCCACGTATAAAATCAATAAATTTTAAATTATACTTAATTTTTTAATTCTCTATAATGAGGCACTGCCTCACCTGCCTCCCCTGACGGGCCGCCACTGCTTTGGTTGAACAAATGTAACAGTTGTTTTAAGAAATTTGCTACAAACGTGTTAAGTGATTGTTTTAGTTTACCAGCTGATGCTTTTTACTTTCTCTTTTAATTTGCTGGGATTTTTATTTAATAATATTAATTATAAATTACTCCAATAGAACTTGATGATAAAATATTGTTTATGATAAAATTTAATGTTATTGGCACATTTTCAAGTCTAAAAAATTAGGATCTGTGTATTGAAATCACAATGCATTGATCAAACATTTTGGGTAAAATAAAGACGTGAATGGCTACAAAAGGATTTTTAAACTTGGCAATTAACGCAGTGGTACTTAGCTGGGGGGGAAAGCCGGTCGGGTGCTGGCGTTTGGATTTAAACAGTGTCTTGCGCTGGTGCGAGATGGTCTGCGCTTTCAGCGAGATAAAATAAATAAATAAAAAATTTCTACTGACCCAGAATACGCGATGGTCTTTAAATGATACGTTTTCTGCTGCAGAAAACCGCCTGGCGGTCCATATAATCCAAGAATTTTAACGAAAAAATCACTTTTTTAAACTGTAAACTTCAAAATAGTTGAATTTGTTGATTGTGACAATGATTTTGACAAGTGAAGTTATGTATTTTGTGTTTTTTGTTATTTGTGCGTTGCATATTCAGGCGAAGCCGAGTTATACTTTCGATTTGCCAGCGATAGGAAAATTTTTGAGTTTCGGACAAAACCAAAGCCCGCGCTCCATTTTGAAGACCTACAGCGGAAAACGGGTGAAAAATGACTCGATCAGAATGGTTTATTTCTACGACCAAACTGTGGCAGTTGTGGAGCTAGAACCAAGCAAATTGTTGCTCAACTGTGAGCTAATAGAAGTATAGTAAGTTTATATACACAATTTTTTTCATACAAATTATCAAATATTATTTTATATGCATTATCATAATAGTAAAATAAACCTTATTCTATCAGGGCTGTCATCGAACTGTCAAATGTCAATTTTAAGGTTAATTTGTTGGTATGGGGAATTTGTAGGTTAAATATGCATATTTAACCTACAAATTCCCCATACCAACAAATTAACCTTAAAATTGACATTTAAATAACTAGATACAAAAAATTACCAAATTTGGGAAATGGTTTATTTCATTATTTACCTACATAATAACCTTTTTGATCTACTAAGAGAATAACGTATACGTTAATAAAAACAATATAAATACCACAAATTTACGTAAAAATAACGCTACAATTACTAACTGTTTGCTCTCTCTTTCTAAAACATTGACATTCGTAATTTCTTTGTTCTTTTAATTTATATTTTACAAAATAGTACTTGCAAAGTAATAAAGGCCACCCTAGAGTAAAATTAAAAAATATAACTTAAATTGTCAAAACTAATAATATTTTGCATTAAAACTCAAACGCACATTATTTTATTGATAAAAATAGGCACGATACATCTTAAAAATTCTCTAAATATTTTACGGGTTAAAGAAAAATTATTGCTTGGGTAAAAATTCAACAAAACTTAAAACCTACAAAATTTTATAAAACCTTTAAAAAAGCATTTAGTTTTAATAATTTTTTAATAACTAAAACTCTTCTTATTATATTTTAGAAAATATTTATGGAAAAAATATGACTTATGAGTAACATTTACCATTATGTAAAAATTCTGAGGTTAAAATTACTTATTAAATAACTTTAAAAAAAAGTTTTACATCAAAGTAAATTTTTAAGGTTAATTTAACAAAATATTTACTTAAATTAAGTAATATTGCCTTGGGTGATAATTAACTTTAAAATTGGATTTGACAGTTTTATGACAGCCCTGATAAAATAAGGTTTATTTTTTTTACAAAAAAAAATAAAGTGGTTGTTCTTGGGCCTGCTCTAATTGGTGGCTTTACATCACATGACTGAAGATGTGGTGGATGGCATTTCGCGTTGCAGTGTGTGTAGAGGGGGTGTTTTTGTTTTGATTCAGATTAAATTATTTAAAACTGTACAGTATTGCAACAAATTGCTCTAAAATAGTTTTTCCAATTATTATTATCGAGTTTGACCTAGAAATATACCTAAGCATAATTTATTTAGCTTCACTGAAAGAAATTTGTTGCTAAAAGTAAATACAAATTTATACTAAAAATTTTATACTAGTGCTTTACACATTTATACTACTGTTTATTATGAATGTATGGTAAATTTTGTAATACATTTATTGTAAAGAAGATATGTTAGATCTAAATAAAAATAAACTTACCCTTACTATAAAATGTAAACTATAAGTGAATTACAGCAAAAAAATATTGCTAGAAACACCATTTATATTGCTAGGGCAGCAATAGGCTGCTAACCAAACGAATATATTTGTTTTAGCAATGTATGTGGTAGTCTATATATGAAACATAAAATATATTTGCCCTAATTATTTTTTTATTTAACTTTAGTATATATTTCTTTCAGTGTTGACTAACTATTAAAATTATCGTAACTTTGAACAAAATTAATTAGCAAGCCGTGACCGTGAAGAAATACACTAATTAGATTTTTTTGTATAGGTACATATTTAAATTATCTAGAGTCTTCTATGGAACGCCGTTTTAGCATTTTTTAGATAATGGTTTTATTAAGTTGGTAGCTTGATTTAGTATTTAAAAAATGGTGCATTTTTTAGAATTACTGCTGTTTCGTTTTCGTTGCTCCACCAGGTATAGTAGTCCAATTTTAGCATTGTGAAAGATTAAGAGCATATAAAACCGTTACAACAATTAAAATCAGGTTTATTAAATTACCCTTTTGTAAAAATACAGGAAAAGTGTATAAACGCTTATTAATCAATTAGTGTGAAATATATATTTTTGTAATTAAATTTCTCACACACTAAGTGCTACTGGTAACATACAAATAATTTTTAAACTGGCAGAGGAAACATTTATTGATATATTGATATATTAAAGAGATAGTTGTAATGAAAAAACCAATGGGACATTTTTTTCTGATGAAGTAGTAGGTACATCATATTTTAACTGCGCCAATATAAATTAACCTGCAAGTTTATTTAAACCATTTGGTTATTTTATTGTGTTTCATTTAACCACTTGATTTACCTATCAGTTATTTATAACTATTTTGTTTTGGTTTAAATTCGGTGAATGTAAAACATTATAGTTCATAATTACCAAAATAAGTTAAATTAAACTAATTATTATAATATATAATTATTATTATTTTTAAAATAACTAACCTAAAAAAAAATTCGATGATCTTACGTTCTGATTTCAGCATATAAAACGCATCTGTTCTGTGATAAAACCTATAGATGCTTGCCAAATTAATTAAATGACAGGGGACTGTTTCAGGATTTGTAGATAAATTATGATTTACAACTTTGTTAACTCTTCTATAGTAAGTTGAAGAAACCATATTTTTTAAAATTATTTATTTTAAGCTCCATTATCTCACAAAACTCACAACTTATATATAAAGCTTTATTGAGTAAAACAAAATATGTCTGCGACAGTGTTGCCAGGTTTTAAAATAGTTTTTTGCCGAGTTGCGTTATTAAAGTAGGTAACGGATTAAATACCTACTTATAATCGTTATTCTAATTAAAATGGTTTATGTCTAGTCATAATTAGTTTTTAACTGTTTTATGTAATATAATTCTTAAATTAAAGAAAACACGTTGAACAGCTGTTTTATGCTGTAAACAGTAATTTAGTATTAATGTTAATAATTATTGTAATAACGAACTAAACACGTCAGTTTTGTTATTAAAATACAATGGTGGTTTGTTTTGTATTTGGTTGTAAAAGTTATATTCATAAGTTATAGTTTTAATAGTTATGTTTTTAGGTAGGTCAGTGTAGGTAAAAACAAAAATCAATTAATAGAAACATGCATATTCGTGTGTAATATATGTACCTAATTAACATGCTATTTATCGTGTGGATGCATAATAGTGCACCTACCTCAAGTTAATATAATTTTAGAAAATAAATATCTAGATATTACCAAACGTAATGGAATTTAAATTATTTCTCTATTACTTGTTATGGTTATAACCATATCAACGAAGAAATCGATTTTTGGTCAATTATTTTAATGAGAAATTGTTATTACGAAATTATATAGGTACCTGCACTTTTTGAATTAATCAATGTTATATTATCAAAAAAGTATGGCAAGGGAAAAGTCCATCAAATATTTATTGAAACAGAATTATACAAACTATATTCGTCAAAATTGATTTTATGTACAAAAAGTTGACAAATATACAACATATTTTACTACAGTTCATTTTTGGGGTAAAAAAGTAACGTAGATCAAAAATTTTTGAAATTTAAAAAAATAGGAAAATAAAAATTATTTGCTGCTAGGTTCAACCTTTTTGTGAAATATCTAGTAGTTAATTTTTCTGTCTTTGAAAATAGCATCCATTTGGTTTGAAAAAGATAAACAATAATCACGAAACTTTTTCTTCTTTCAATTTGCAAGTTACTGATCATAAAAAGTCCTGGACAATATATACATTATAATTATTATTAAGCCACTAGTACTAACGTCCAGTGTCTTTAACAAAATACCCATTCACCATTGGAGTCCAATGATTGGACAACATTCACGTGTTTTCACATAAAATTTTAATTTCTTTTATATAAATTCTTTTCAAAGCGAAAATTATTAACCGCTAGGTCTCTCCTGGACCGTAGTCACCTATATTTAACTACTTTTTATATGATTTTACTCATCTACGCACCACCAAAGCAAAATTAACTGCATTTTTAACTGGGAATTTAGTTTAATGATTTAGAGAACATCATAAACACAAGAATAGAAACTTTTTATTTATTCTTTAGATACGCTAGGAAGCTATTGTTATTGATGGCACGTTTTCAACATGCTTAAATACTGTTTAAACCATTCAAAGACTTTAAATGATTCATAAACGTTCTACATTCTTATACATGGTGTTTTTAATTGTGCTTATTACATTATAAGAAAGAATTAAAATGTTATAAGAATTGTTATGACGTGGCCTTGTGTCGGATTTACCGTTGGATATCTAAAGTTTTTATTCCTTGAAGTTTTTAATGTATGCATTTACTTCTACTTTAGTATGTAAAGGGGTATTTTATCAAAGTATTGCGTAAATATAAATTGCATTTTACCTTCTATGCTTAGCAAAACTAGATAATATTGTAATTTATAATTGTATTTAATTATTTTCACCAGAGCTGCAACAAGTCAGTTATAAAAAGACTTAAATCTTAAGTCTTAAGTAAATTCTAAAATCAAAATGATTTAAGTCTTAAGTCAATTCTAAGATAAAGTTCAAATGATTTAAGTATTAAGTCTTTGAATTAAATCATTTTCTTTCAAGTCAAGTCATTTTCGCAAATTCTTAAATCAATATAAAGTGATTTAAGTCATCTTATGACTTAATTCCTTTAGTAAGTCGTTTTTATGACTTAAGTCTATATTTTTTATTTAAATCGAGATCTAAGAGTTAAGTCAATAAAATGACTTGAATCAAAAATTGTGATTTAAATCAAAATAATTACCCTTAAGTCAATACAACGATTTTTTAAATGTTAATAATAATTTTATGGTATTAATTATACTGATATTATTAATCTATTGTAGATACAGATGATAATAAACCACTATGTTAAGAATTTAAAACGATTTATTTTCAGAACACTTACAAACAAAATAAAAACTTAAAACACATTTTTTGAGTAGACAATCAAAATAAAAAAACCACCTTTTTTAGTAGAGTACATACAGGGAGGCTACTTTTTTATATACATAAATGGTTCACTTCTAAACGGTAATAGATTCAAACTCTGTTAAAATAGATAAAAGTAACAAATTAGACCTAACGCACGCATAACACGACGATGTTGGCAAACAAAATAACAAAATTATAAATCCGCAGTTTTTTTCATTTATTTTAGACAGGACATTTTTTAATGTAGCCGTCAAATGGTTCCAAAAAGCTAACTTTACCGCGGCGGTTTTTTTACTCACTAGCGGTAGCAATTGTAGGTAGGAAATTAAAGGAGTTTTTGAGCTGCTGCCGCGTGAACCCCTGGCAGTTCAAAAGAAAATGCCGCTGTTAAAAATTTATAAAAAAATATATGAAAAATCTGACTTAAATATTTTCTAAAAAGACTTAAATCTTTTTAAATTACTTAAATAATTTACCAAATTTTATAAAGACTTAAATCTTTTTTTGACTTAAATCGTTTCTATATGACTTAAATAGTATGTACTGATTTAAGCCTTTTATTAATGACTTAAGTTTTTTATATTTTGAAAAAAATATTTAAGTCACAAATCATTTTGAAAATTACTTAAATTTTAAGTCTTAAGTCAGTTTTAGAGAAATGACTTATTACCAAATGACTTAAGTCATTAAAACGATTTAAATCAAAAAAACGATTTAAGTTTTCTGAGAGCTTGCAGCTCTGATTTTCACAAGTAAATGTTGTGAAACAATAGGCATTTCTTAACTTTAAGTCTATACAGTGACCGGCAATATTATTCACGATTTGTTTTTCAAGTCGTCTAAATTTAGTGGTCTGGTGATAAGGCCTTTGATTTAAGGTAGCCCCATAAGAAATAATCTAGTGGGGTGAGATCTGGAGATCTCGCTGGCCACTCTATCGGTCCTCAGGAAAACATTTGTCCAAAAAGTACGGACTGGATGCTCATAGTGAGGAGGTGCCCCGTCCTGTTGAAACCAAATGGTATCACTAGGTAGATCGGGACCTCCATTCTCGTTGGAAAACATTTCTGCTGATTTGGCAAGAAGAGAATTTTGCAAAAATTCCAAATACGTTTGTCCTGTCATATTCTCGTCAAAGAAGATCCGATTTTCCACCATTCCTGCCCAGACTGCCCAGACTTGCCGGTTTTGGGAATGTGCCTCTATTACCCAATGAGATTTTTTTCTGCTCCAGTACTTACAATTTTGACGGTTGACTATCATTAAAACAGAAGGTAGCTTCGTCTGAAAAAGTAGTTTTACAAAATTGTGGTCCACGTTCCGGATCATGTTCGTTAAGTTACCGCACTAGTCTAATTTTGTATGGATGGTACTTTTCTTTCTATATAAGACGTAACACTGAGCGTTGGCCGACTTTACTTTCAGCTGCGACTAGGCTAAAGCACTATGAGGATCTTCTTCCACGCGTAACAAAATGTCAATTTTAGTGTCTTCACTAATACTCGGACAGCCATGTCCAGTACTGGAGACGTCTCTCTGAATTTCCGTTTAATTTTACTAACCGTAGCATAAGTAATATACTTATTGCTGGAATCACAATTTGGATTAAAAAAACAAATTTTTTTTTAGCGAACCAGAGATGGCCCTCAAAGCTTTGGGCGACATTCAGCACGTTTCGAAACCAGTGGGCATTTCGTTCAAGGAAATGTTGAAATTGATGAACAACTGTAAAGAATTGGAGGAAGGGGAGTTGCAGAGGAACAGGGAGGAACAAAAACAGAGCGACAAAAACAAAAATGACAGAATGGAGGCGCGAGGAATCCTGGCCAACAATCCCTTCACGCTTTTGAGCGGTATTATACCAGGTACAAATTACTTGTCCCACTGCGCCTAAGCCTTAGCTTTGTTACAGTAAAGACGTATTAAAATAGTCGTGTGTTGGGTTGTATATAGTTGATGTATTGTCTGCACTTGAATTTTTGTTTATGTTAACGTCTATTGCGTATCAGGGCTGTTTGTTTATGTTTGGTTTTGTACCGATTTATTACGAATAATTACGTTCGCTGTCCTGTGGGAATTCTCTTTTTCTAGTTTGGCTGTTTTGTTTTCCTGGTTTGAAGACGCTTAACCTATTCAAGAAAATGCAATATTACTTTTTAAGTAGAGAATGCAAATTAAATTATACGGATTAAAGCTATTTAACTTATCTTTTGTTGCTACTGTCCTCTCTTTGGTTTCTTCGGGAGACTGGTAAATTGAATTCACCTGCACAGGTAGTGTAACCGATTTCTTACCTTCTTCAGTTGTTGTATTGCACTGCACTACGGTATTAGCGCTTTGCTGATTCTGTAAGACATCGGTAGACGGGTACCTTGATTCACCTGCACAGGTAGTGACCCAGATCTCTAATTGCTCACTGTATACACTTAACTTAGAAGCGATCGCTTGCGCGTCTGCATCTTATGATGCACTCGACTAAAAATAAATGATGATTTCAGGTACCAAATGGTGCGGAACTGGGGACATAGCCAAAGACTACTTTGATCTGGGTACAGACTTCTCCACGGACGCGTGTTGTCGTGCTCACGACCTCTGCCCAGTAAAGATACGAAGTTACTCTCAACGCTACAATCTCACGAATAACTCGTACTACACCAAGTCGCACTGCGTGTGCGACGACACCCTGTATAACTGCCTGAGAGCCAGCCAATCGCCTACGTCGAACATCCTAGGCAACTTGTATTTCAACTTGGTGCAAATACCGTGCGTTGGGGATACGAAGAAGGGGCGGGTGTTCAGAAAGGGGCGCAATAACTTCTAATTAGAATAAAATTGTGATTTTGATTTTTTGGCCATCATTCATGGTGTTGTTATTTAATTTATACGTTCAAAAACGAAATTGTACATATTTTGATTAAATACATTTACTAATTAAGTTGGTATCATTTTTGTGACCGAATGGAATTTCGATGTTAAAAATACCACCTTATCTGCCTCAACGTATAAACAAATTTTGCAAACGTTAGCAGCACAGTGCAAATCGATACATAAGCGTTCTTATCATGCTAAAATGATTAAGAAAAAATTTAAATGTATAATATAACCAAGGAAACTGTGGTTGTCATTTTTATATCCGGCGTAATATATTTTATCTTATCAGTTGCAAGAATATAATACGTTGCTATACTCAAGTATTTCAAAAAAATTTTATATTAATCTTGAAAATTCACGGGTGGACTGAAAATTTCGCAGCGCTATGTACCTACCTACACGTAAACACGGCCTAATCTCATTTGCACGCCGTTCTACTCCCATTTTCGACCAAATCTTTTTTGTTTGGTGATGCATGATTTTTGTCGGTCAGTGTACAATCCAAATATTTACATACCTACCGCACATATCTCTATCCTCGGAGATAAGATAAAAACGAATTAATAAAACTAAATAAATTTGAAATTAGTAAGTGTTGCGTTTAGGCGATGTCATTATGTCGCATTAGGGCCGGAATTAATTAAAGAAACGCCATCGTTCATATTTAATTATTAACCGAATATTAATCAATAAAATTTATTCACTGACGTGGACCAACGTTTTCCTTCTGATAAAGTCGTAGGAAATATTTCCTGTAGCAATGTGATTTGTATGCAATAAACAAGCATTCAGAAAACATTCGAAAAATAATTAATTAATTTATTAATTAAAATAAGTACAGATTCTTCTGAAGTATTTTTGATATATCGAGGTCCAATGAGGAACACAATCAACACGTGGTTCACGCAAAAAGTAAGTTAACATTTTAATTATTGTTTATATTATCAGCAAATTTGGGAGATTATTTTTAAAATTCAACACGTGATAATTACACAAGCATTATCATTACCAAATTTTATTACATGACAACTACAATGTTAAAAAGACTTGTTGAAGTATTAAATTGACAAAAAAAATCATCTGCAATCTTTTTAAAATAACCTGAATCTTGTGATACGATGTTTTTTAACCTTTCGTATTTTTCTAAAATCTTATCTCCATAAATAATAATAAAAATTAAGATTTATTAATGTAATAATTTGTATAAGATAATTTTTTAGGTAAAAAATATTTAAACAAATTAAAAATATATGTTATTAAGATAAGCATTTCTTATATAAACACTTATTTCCTTGCGGTGGATAAGTATTTTTCTGGTTTCATATGTTACTCATATCCTTTGAACGTTGTATACTAGTAAATTATAAAACTTATGATTTTTCCAACTAAAAAACAATTTTTGACATGAAACATTTTCTATTTACCTAAAAAACGTTTAAAAATATATATAAAATTCAGAAATAATTAAGAGGGGTGAGATCTGGAGATCTCGCTGGCCACTCTATCGGTCCTCAGGAAAACATGTGTCCAAAAAGTACGGACTGGATGCTCGAGCATGATCATAGTGAAGAGGTGCCCCGTCCTCTTGAAACCAAATGGTATCACCAGGTAGATCGGGACCTCCATTCTCGATGGGAAACATTTCTGCTGATTTGGGAAGACAAAATGTCAATTTTAGTGTCTCTTCTAATACTCAGACGGACAGTTTTGGAATATATTTGACATGTCCAGTCTCTCTGAATTTCCGTTCAATTTTACTAATCTTAGAATGACAATTGTCATTTGTAGAAAAATAAAAAACAATAATAAACTGAAAAGTTTGACCTTGAAATTAAATATTTTTAGAAAGTTTATGAACATTTCTTCTATAAACACTTTTTTCCGGTTTCTGTATACATACACAAAAAATAAATAAACAGTTTTTAAGAGGCACATAATGCAATCTTATCTGAAATGTTAATAGTAAAGAAAATATTTGTCAAAATATAGTATAGTATTTATTTCAAACGCAATAGATTAAAAATATACACAGGTACGCAAAAAAATTGCTTTTAATTTTTTTCGAAAAACACACAATTACAATAATAATAATATTGCTAAACAAATTTAAATAGGTTTACAACTTTGCTTCACATTATAAAAATACGAAAGGATATAAATAAATGTTCAGATAAGATAAGAATTTTATATCATGTTTAGATTGAAATAAATTACGTAGGAACAGAAAATATTCCACATATGCTGAGCAGCCTGACACACCGCATGTATGGTTTCGCTATTACACTGAAAAAACATTTTTACATGATATTACATGCTACTATTCGGTCCGTCAAGCATCAACAGCAGTACCGATGAGAACCGCAGTTAAACAACTGGCCGACTCTACTGGTTTAAACGAAAAATGCCTTGCTATCATTTGGCCGAGTATCGGTCATGGCCGCTTGGCTATCCAAAAAACTACCTCTTGAGATAATCCTCTAAATGGCACTATACTTAGTTGATCACCCCCCTATACATATAAAACGATCATTGTTCAGCTGTGACATCACAGACGCACACCTCAACTTAATATTGCAACCCTTCGCTACTAATGTAGTAAGTGGCCACAAGCGGGCCGGCTGGGAGCAAGCCGAACCGCCGGTCCACCGAATATGCCGAGCGGGTATTTTAATGTAAAATATCTAGGGACACTTAAAAAATCATAAAACATTCTGGACCACCCCGTATACATAGAGACCAAAGGTTTGTAAATTTATTATATATAACAAATCAATAAATATAGCTGAATCACCTGTAACTTAAACTAGCATAAACAAAATGAGGCACTATCACGATAAAATATTTCAAGATCGCCACATTGGCTGCATACCGCGAACAAATATCAAAGCAGTGTTCAATAGGAAGCAATGAGTTCCGATGCGGTGTGTACCCGTTCGAAAACAGCCAAAATGCGCGCCATCAAGAGAGTGTACATAAAGAAGAAAAACGAGGGAACGCCGTTGAGGTGGGAGGAGTTCCTCGGCGAAAATCCGGTGGAAAACTTAAATCTAAGGCAGTACATGAACCCGGAAGAATACGAGGAAACAATAAGGGAGAATCAGGAGGTTCAGGTTAAAGATGAACAACTGTTTACCATGCCCATTGAATTGTACGATTACTACATCAAAAAGTTTGTCATAGAGCGCGATAGCAACGAAAAGATCAAGATTGTAATAGAAAAAAGCAAAACCACGATCATAGATCTAACTTTGGAAGAGGACGTTATAGATAACATGATGAAAGGCGATTTTGCTGAAGATTACGAGTTGGAAGATGTAAAACCCACAAAAACATTAAAACCTGGTTATAAAATACCAAAACTAAACCAAAAAAAATCCAATGAAACAAACCAGAAAGAAGTTAAAAAAGTTGGCTTTTATCACAGCCAGGTGGAAAGCTTGAAAAACTCACTGAGAAGTTACAGAAACCTCACCAAAACCACCAAGGTGTTAATCAAACCTACCAAACTGGTCGAAAAAGAATTCTTACCACCATTGCAGTTAAAACCTTTAAAGAAACAAAAGAAATCTAAACAACCACAAAACAAGGAACCACCATTGGCTAGAGTACCACCATATCAAACATCAACAAGTAACATCAGGAGTTATAACTCAAAATATTTGCCAAGAACTTGCGTAACATCCAAATTTAACTATGGTAATTTTTGGTCGAAGTCGAAACCGAAAAAAATCGAAGAAAAACGTAGAAAAGGCGAATCGCGACTTAAAACTTTTGAATTATTAGCCCATGATCTATACTTATCTTCTGAAGATGATGACGAACAAACCAAACTGGAAAAACGTCGTCTTGTTATGGAAGGTATTGAAGAAAAGGTTCAAAACTCGGATGAAGATAATAACAATAAAGGTGACGATAAAATGGAACATATTGAAGAAGATAAAGAGGATGTTAATGAAGCTGATAAAAATCTACTTGAGCTCTATGAAGATGGTTACAAGTACGTGGAACCAACAAAACTTGAAACTGTATCCCCCGATACAACCGATTCAGAATTGTGTAACTCTGATATCGAGCCATCACCGACCTCCACACTGTTATTAAGTTCTGAATCTGACGAAGAAAAAGGTACTATAATCATAACCATTTAATAAACCCAAGGTTTTTCTGGATGTTTTTTTAACTATATAGAACGGTTTATCTACATAAGTGATAAGATTAGATTTTATATCGGTTAACAATTATGTTGCTTTTGGTATCTACGTTCAGTATTTTAACACATTTATGTTTATAATTGTTTTTTAGATTATTCCGTTAACAATATGTCCGAAAATGGTGACGAGATTTTGCACTACAAGAAACGTTTGATTCATCTACATGACGTTTCAAGGGATGCTGAAAGACCACCACCAATCATGACAGAAGAAGTTTCAGAAACGAAAGTAACCACTAAAAGAAATCTGGACTCAATTTCTGATGAGGAAGATGAATTAGGATCATCTCCCAAAGGAAAAAATGGTAAAACACCAAGAAAGAAGAGAAAGAGTCAAAAGCACTTTCGTCATCAAAGTATGGAGTTTTACAAGTTAGGAAACTCAGGTACAAAAATGCATTTGCATTAATTATCGTTTATTTTTGATATCTAATCTATTTAGAAACGTAATAAAGGTAGCATTGTTATTTAATTTTTAATATTTATCAGTATGTTTGTTTTAGATTAGATATGCCTCACGTTCTTGATAACGAACTATCAATATTACCTACATTTAATGAATAAAATTAATGGATTGTTTTGTTTTAGACAATTCCACTTCGCTTTGTAAAAGTAAAGATTCCTACAAGGTTTCACAGGAGAAATTCTTAAAATCCGCAAGCGAAAATAGCAAAACAAAAAATGTACCAAAGCAGAAGTTGACGGAAGATATCTTGCAAACTTTAGGAAACTCCCCTCCATCTGTAAAACATCCAAATTTGCCTCAAGTTATTACAAGACAATCTTCAAGAACCAATGTTGGAAATAAAGTGGATGAGAGTACCCATGTTTCCAAACCAGTAAGAATAGAGAACAATTTACTTGAAGAGGCCAAAAAAAATTTAAACAATTTAAAAAGAAATCTTTGTATTGGTGAAGGTATGACATTACATATTAGTAAAAAAATACCACTAATACCACCCAAGGAGACACCTCAAATAACTGAAGAATCAAAAAATAATGGAAACAATGTAAATGTAAATATTGTTTCGGGGAAAATACCTGAACAAAATATACCAAATGAGAATACAACAAATAACAGAAATACTGGTAATATTATCATCAATGGTAATATCAAACTTAATACTATACACATTCCCCAACAAACAAATTATGCTCAAATAAATGAAGACGTTCCATTGAACCTATCAAAGCCGAATAAAGACCAAACACCGAATCAATCTACGAATCAAAAACCGAGACGGGAATCAATCCACAAACCAAACCCTGTTGGACCGCCAAATTACCAGGAAACGTTGCACCTACAGGCGTTACAATACCAAAACCAAATGATGTACCAACGCGTTAACTTCGTCCAGCCGAAACCACTGTTTATACCGAGAACTGTCACGAACCAATTGCGAAGACTTGTCCCACCTCAACAACCAAAGGTGCCGCAAGAAAAGCGCAGCAGAGGTCGCCCGAGAAAACTTTCACCATTGGTTGTCCAAAAACCTGGCACCCTAAATTACCGACCTGTTAATGAATATCCGGTGGGGTTGTTGACTCCACCCGAAACACCTGTTAACAGGCAATTCCCGAACGGTTACGATCTGCCGCAGAAAAGATACGTGGTGGACAATGAGTATCAGATTAGATTTCCCAACAACTTTGTGCAGACTTCGAGAGAAAACCAATCCAATTTTGCCCAGCATCAACCAAAACCCTCCACAAGCACCGAAGTGGCTTCACCTCCAAAGGAAAGACCAGAGGACCCTATTGGGCCTGTAAGGTACATAACGTCTGACACAATATCGAGAATGAAATCTTTATTCTGCACTCTAAACGAGAATGAGGATCTAAACGAAACTTTGGAAAGCCTTAACGAGCAGGTTATTAATTCCTACAAAGCTATGTTTCTCGATATGTGCCGGGATAAATTCGTGAAGCAGTTGCTGGAGAAGTGCGATCAAATATTCAAAAGATTCGTCTGCAACTTGCTCTCCAAAAGCACCAAATGCAAGAAGAGTTTGGGGAGCTGGAACGTCATCGGTACAATACAAATAAAATCGTTGAACAAAGAGGCCAATACGAACAAAGAAAATATCAAAGATAGTTGCGTGAAGGACCCGTACTATTTAGGTAAACATTTTAGGATAAACATAACCAACATCCAATCACGCGACGATGTGGTTTTGGACAACGAAGCCCAAGGACCTTCGATCATATTGATGCTGGACAGGTACGGAAACTACGTCAAAACCATATACCCAGAGGAGCAAAACTTCGAGCAAATCACGAACTTCGAACTGCTCGTGGTAGATACCAGTATAGCGAAGAACAAATCCAAATCAAAAGAAACCTCAAGCGCTTCGGAAACTGAAGAACATCACGACAGAACCCGGAGTAGTTTGTTCGAGTCGTATCAGCAATTTATACAACAAAATAAGGACATAAACTTCGGCGGGTTCGATACGAAAATAAACGAATACTGCGACAAAAAAATAAGCGACATGGAGTTGCTGGAAAAAATCCAGTCCACCCTCAAAACGATGCCGACAGAGGATCAGATTAGAATATACAACTCCCTGCAAAGTAAAAATGCCAACGGAAAGTTTGTGGAACTGATAGGTGAGTTTTAAGTTTTTTTGGCCGAGATGGCGTTTATCCCTCTTTAATGTTTATTTCAGTGTATGATGGTTAGATAGATATTTCATTTTTTACAAAAAATAGACGGTAATTTTGTGTTACAAGTAGTTGTGACTCTTCCTAACCATATTTGCTATTCAAGCTAACTTTTCAACTTTTGTATTATATTTCTTCTATTTACATTGGGTATGCACAATTTTAACAACTTGTTAATGTTCTAGATATCCCCAATGAACACAAACTACTTCATTCCAAAGAGGCTTTAAGAACCTTGCGTTTGGAGTCCGTGGACTCTGGCATCGTATCAAGTACAACAGTTAAATCTGACGGGATAGAGGAAATATCTGATACGGAGAGCGTACCAAGTGTTTTCGTTAAGAGCATGTTGGAGATGAAGGACGATAACATCAGAAGTAAATCAGTAGAAACCATAAGCAGTACAAACAGCGAGGTGGAATATAGAATCAACAAAAACAACAAAGCGTTCTACAAGCGACTCCCGAAAGGGAAGCTCTGCTACGTCAGGGAACAGAACGCCCTATTCCGATACTTCGACGAGGCCCAGATAAACTTGTTCATCGAGAACCTGCACAGCTCCAACAAAAGGTATTTAAGCGACATCTATCGGCAGTGCTACGATCACAAAACGGATCATCACAAGGAAGTCATCAAGCTACCGAACGAAGTGCACTTCAGCAACAAGGAGACGCTGGACGACGCTGAGGAGTACGTCAAAGAATACAACACGGTGCAGAAAAACGTGCCCCAGGATTTTTTCTGGTACTACAAGTATGTGACGGGGTACCAGATTTACAAAGGGAACATTCCCATCTCGTTTCAGACGTTCTTGGCGATGCACAACACGAATGGCTTGAAGTTGCTGTTCAATAGTTATTTAGAGAATTTGAAAAGACAGTTTAAACCGGGTGTACCGGACTAAGTTTTTGTGTTACTCGTCTAATTTTTGTAAATACTGTACAGTATCGTTTTTTACTTTTTTAATAAAAATATATACGTTTGATATGGTTTTATTAAACCAATTTCAAAAAGAAGCTACTTGCTAATAACTTCACCCCGTGACTAAAACGCCTAAACGGTCATGGAGCAGGAAAATTAAAACTCTTGATTTTTTATTAGTCTTTTTTACTGTAAAATGGATATAGCTAAAGCCAATTAAAAAATATTGAAGAAAAAAATTCTAATTCTAAAGTTTCGATTTTTTCGCAAATCTTTCAACAATCTCATGCGTTTCTGAATAGTACGGCTCACAATTGGATTTAACCCTATCCAACCAAGCTGCCAAAACGGGTCTGTTATCTTTGGGATCATACCCAGTGGCCCCTGAAAAAATAATGTTTCTTTTGTTGTAATAGTGACAGTAAAAATATCGTTCTCACTTAGTTGATCAATTTCTGTAGCAGCAAAAATATCAGCTACTGTAAAAGAGTTCCCAGCTAAGTATTCCTGATCTTTCAGGAATAATTCTTGAATATCTACCAAAGATTTTTCCATGCGCTTTTTAAAAGCGGCCAATTTTTTATCGGGAACTTCTTTGAATAGCGGTTCAATGCACTAAAATTGTACACTACTAGTATTAAATTAATTATTATTAATTTAATTTTAGAACCTTCATTATAAAATACATAGAACAGTTGGCCCTGATATTGTGGTGTTGCCATTCCAAATACTCATCAATTTTGCCCCTCAATTGGGCATCTTTTGGGTATAAAGGCTCATTCACATTGTATTTCTCACTTAAGTATCTCACTATAGCAACACTGGAAAAATTAACATTTTAGATTCCCTCGTATTGAATATTCGTACACCCCTCGTATACGACATAACCTCGTTATTTGTTTACTAACCTTTCGGTTAAGCGAAAATCGCCATCGTGGATAAATGGCACTTTTCCAAACTTGCTGCATTTTTCCTTGAAATCTTCAGTTAAATGCTCGCCTAAAGAGATACTTAAAGTATTGGGTAAATCGGTAAAAATACTCACCCTTTCTTAAAGCCACCGGGCAGGCCTCAAAGGGTATTTTGTTCAACTTTAAATAAATAAACAAAGTCCTAGAAGGTTGCGACAGTAAATCGTAGAAGAGTTTCATTTTTTTGTACAGTTTCATACGATTTCTTACCAATAATGATATATAAGTGGGTACAAAGTTTATTAACCGTTCGGATGGGGACAGCCTTGAACTTTTTTATGGTTGAATCTCTAGGTACTCAATAGATAATATCAAATATATAGATAGTCGCAGGTAGTAGGCTTTGAGCCAAAATTCTAACCTTAAAATGGCTGTCAAAATGTCAAATATAGCATAAAAAAAACAATAAATAATAACGCCTTAAGAATTCTATAAGAAATAATATAGTTATAATTATTAATTTTTAAAGTCATTTTCACTTGTTTTGTTAATTAATTTGGTAAACCAAACATCTAATTTTTGCTGTTAAATGTTGGCAAAATTGCTTAATTACGTGCATAGTATTTAAAGTGGAAAAATCCTCTATCTTATCAGTTGTTATTTCAAAACATAGAGCACTTAACGCAGTCCAGAGAGTGTACATGATAACCTAAAATTGTTAAGTCATTTTGTTGTTTTTTCTCATTATGTTGTGCAAAACAGGATTGTTAATCGTTTCTAATCCAAATAAAATCGGTAAAATACTGTCAAAAATACAGAACAATGTAAAAAATACGCTTTACATTCAATTATTGTCGACTTTGAGTGACCCCTTGGGTAATTTTTATCCCAACTTGTACAATTCATGGCCAAAATACAGTCAAACTATATTTGGTATTTATTCCCAAGTAAGTACCTATATTATTAATTATTAATATAAATAAAAACATCTTAATCATGATAATTTTAAGGCAGCAACTCATTGTAAAGATTTGGATGTGAGAGTACTCCTCTCGGGGTTAAAATACAATGTGGCCAAAATAAAAACCTCCCAGCCCATAGATCTGGTGATATTCGACAAAACCCACAGCACAACCAACATGGATAATTTTATAACGAACCGCATAGAGAACTTCTCCAAAAATTGCAACGTACTAACACTGGACAGTGGTGATTTTGAAGCCCCCGCAATAAGTAGCAACGAAGGCGACAAAATTTTTAAACACTCTGTCCTGGGGGGTACTTTCGACAGACTCCACATAGCCCACAAGCTTCTATTGAGCGAGGCTGCCTTGCGATCCAGCGATCAAGTTACCGTGGGGGTAACTGAAGAAAATATGCTGCAGAGTACATTTAAATATTTAAAACAATATTTGAGGTTATTTACAAGGGTTGATTTTCAGCTAAGACTTTGTGGGAATTGATTGAACCTATCGAGGTACGAACTGAGAAGGTAGCAGATTTTTTGCATGATGTGTGTTCGGACTTGAAATATGAAATTGTCCCCATTAATGATCCCTATGGGCCCTCCATTAACGATCCGGGCATGGGGTTAATAGTGGTGAGTCAGGAGACACTTAAAGGGGCTGAAAAAATTAATGAAAGTAAGTTTAACAATAATTTTGTTATTCGGTGTAATTTGTTTTTTTTTTCAGTAAGAAAACAGAAAAATTTGCAACCTCTAGAGGTTAAACTTATTGAATTAATAGATGAACCCAATCCTAACCCCATAGAAGAGGCTAAAATAAGCTCAAGTACCCACAGAATTCGTTTGTTGGGGACTGTAATAAACCCTATAAAAAACAACGAAAAAATCCCCCAAAAACCCTACATAATAGGACTGACAGGTAACTTTTAATACACTGCGCATGCGCAAGTTTAAATCGTTAATTTTTTAAGGTGGTATCGCCAGCGGTAAAACCAACATATCGAAAAACTTGAAAGAATTGGGGGCAGAAATAATAAATTGTGATTTAATAGCTCACGACGTCTATAAAGCTGGTAAACCAACTTTCGATAAAATGGTCGAGCATTTTGGCCAATCCATTATTGGCGAGGACGGGGAAATAGATCGGAAAAAAGTTGGCCCCATCGTTTTTAAAGACCCTGTAAGAGAAAAAAAGCTATTTTTGGCTTGTATTTGAAAAATTTGAATAAATTATAAAATTTATATTAAATGACATTTTTAAGATACTTGGCCAATGAGAGCGCGGAATTCTCCACCGCACACTAGATTGCGACATATAATGCGGTCATCTGATTGGTTAATCAATTCAACAAATTATAAACTAACCCCAAAACAGACAATTTTTAATAAAAAAAAATGTTTTATTTGCTGATTATTATTATTTTCTAGAGAGAATTAGAAGCTCTAAACAACATAGTTTGGCCAGGAATAGAGAAAGAAGTCCAGGAAATCATAAACCAGTCAAAATCTCAGGTTATTGTAATAGAAGCAGCTGTTCTGTTTAATGCAGGATGGGAAAGAAATTGCCATGAAGTATACTCCATTAATAACCATAACTAATTCGAAATTAATAATTTTATTTTTTCCATAGGTTTGGACAACTGTAGTTCCAAGAAGTGAAGCAATTGAACGCCTCAAGTCCAGAAATCAAATGTCTGAAGAACAAGCCAAAAACAGAATAGAATCACAACCAAAAAATACAGATTACGTTAACAAATCGAACGTCGTATTTTGCACACTCTGGCCCTTTGAGTACACCAAACAACAAGTCATCAAAGCTTGGGAACTACTGCAAAACAGAATCCCATCTTGATTTTACATTGTGATCAGATTTATTGTATATATGTATAAAATAAGCTTATAAATGGTTTTATATGTGTTATTTTATAAAGCGTTAAGGTTTTTTAATGCTGTGAATATTAAATATCGTCGCCTTCAGGAGATAATTGCTTAACTCCTTGTTGTAAAATTTTACAGGAGGAAAGAAAAACATATTAAAGGTGTATTGGTGTATCTCCACATTACCGCCAAAAAATTGTTTAATGGAAAATTACGTATCTCCAATCTGAACTTTATGTTAATAAAAGTAACCTTAAATTATTCATGGTACCTTAACTTTACACACTATACAATCTTTCATACTTACTTTTAACAAATTTCACTTTGGAAAACAATGGCTTTACAGAAAAAATAACTAGGCAATAACTTATACTTGTCAATGGCACTGATTTGTATTCTGGAGTTAGGCATTATTCCCTGGACGCTCCTCCACGATTGGAGATACGTATATTTCTTTTTCTAAATTTAAAATTAACGGTTTATTTTAGAACTTCTGTAACTTGCATATAAATTAGTTACAGTTTTATCTAATAGATGCCACTAAAATACCATTTTAATGAAAATGTGGAGTTACGTGATTTTCTCCTGAAGGCGACGATATATCGTTTTATACACCTAAAAAGCTTTTTAATTCACTCACCAAAACTCGATACATCAAAAACACAAAACATTTGAACTGACGGTTGGCAGCACTGGATTTTCAGGCTTGCAGGCGCGGTTGCCAACCTAAAACCCTCTAGATTTCCTCCGCGACCCTAACCTCACTTTGCTGAGTATTCGCGATGTCTCAGCAAGAAAAACCAGCGAAAATCTCGAAATTGCTGCGGATCAAGGCGCAGGAGTTCCTGTCGAATCTCAATCGGCCGCAATGCTTGGAGGAAATCGTCCAACATTTCCATTCTGGATCGGACACCTTGGCTTGTTTATTGACTCTGGAAATGGTGTTTTGCAACGTTTTAAAGGATAAAGTTATGCATTTGGAGTATGTGCCGTTTAAATCCATCGATAATACGAATTTTCACTACAAAGAGTGGCTTCGCAATGTGTACGAAAACTGTTTTACCAAAATTGTCGAATGTATTGGACAAGAGTCCCAGAAAATACAACTGCAAGGTAGGTTTTGATAGAATAACAATAATTTATCACTATAAATGTGTTTTTATAGGTTTATCTTCTGCCATGAACATTTTATCATATGAAGGAAAATACCCACTCGATAACAAATCAAATTTAGAGTCATATGTTCCCTTGCACAAACTGAGAGCCGTTTTAATGGAAATTATATCAAGTAGACAGAACAAAACTAACATGATTAACAAATACACTGAATATTTGATGTACGATGACATATTATTTTTCACATGGAAAGTTCTGCCATTTTTGACAGCCAAATGCAATCCAAAGGAAGTCTATATGGTCAATTATTTGCTTTTACTGGAAAAAATGCAGACTTCAAGGAATATAGAGGCACAAATTTTATGTGGAACTGATGCTGGTAAGTAACAGTTATATTTAGCTTAAACTCACATTTTTAAGGTAGTTTCTCAATTTGAGGGGTTTTGATAGAATATATGATTTTATAAGGAGTTTTTTTGGAAATGTCAAAAAACAATTATTTGAGCACTTTTTTAAATTGTCATTTCAAATTTTTTGCTGCCAACTTAAGGAACACAAAAATTGACAGTTTGAAACCTTAAATTTGACATTGTAACAACAATATTATTGTTATGTTATTTATTTACTTTTTATGTTCTTATAAGTTTTTAATGATACTTTAATTTGAAATAAAGTATTAATTTGTTAATTAAAATACAACGTTTTATTTTTACTATATTGGCACCGCCGAATTCGCTATCATGGCCTTCTGTTTTTTATTGATCAAACCCTTCAAATGGAAAAAAAATATATTTTTTAATATACTAAAAGGATTATTTTATTCGAACTTTAGGCTACTTTATAACATTTTTTGTTTAAAAATTTTGAAAATTCAGTAGTTGAGTACTTTGGAAAAATATTCTTGAGTTATATAAAATTGACATTTTTAAAAAACTCCAAATCTGTCAAAACTAAAAATCGTTATAACTTTGTTATTCCTGGGAATTTAAAAAAAAAGTAAGTTTTAAATGTAAACATAGGCATTTATCTAGATTTTCATCCAATTTGAATTTTTTTTTGCCTACTGGATTTTAACCACCATCTTTTGTTTTACCTATGGCCGCCATATTGAAATTTTATGTTTAGATAAAAAAACTACATAAATTATTGACCGAAATTACAAAGTTAACGATTTTTGATTTTAAAATATTTTTAGAATCGCTGACTTTTTTTTAATTTATAAGTTTCATGTTAGGCTAAAAGGCTTGTAATTACGCAACTTTTCTTTACTTTTACCGACCTTGTAGCTCTTCAAATAATAAAAATACCCACCCTGTAAATGTAATACTATTTAAATTAATTAGTATTACATTAGTTTTTTTAGTAATATTTGTAGTAGTGGTATTTGTAGAAAAAGTATAGTATACGCTAAAGAAGTATCGCTACTAGCGCCACCAGTCGGCTGTTATCATCGGAACTTTTAATAATCGCTGTCAAACGCGTGTTTTTGAGAATAAAGCCGGAAAATGTTAAAAAATGTCGGAAAAAACCGTGGCTCGATTTGTTGTGTTGTTGGGCGTATTTCGAGAGGAAATCCTTGGTTGAGTTTTTACCGGTTTTCCAATAAATAATGTTAATCTGAATGAAGAAATAAATTGCATACAGTCTCTGTAAATATAAATTGTACCTATTAGATACATTAAATACACATTTTAGTAGTGATTAACGTGAAAAATGTAAATATTTCAATTCCGTAAAAATCGTCAAACAAATAAGTCGTCTATTAAAAGCGTTGATTAAGAATTCTTTAAAGTCTCCACTCAACGGTAAAATAGCATTATATTATGTATTATATATAATTTTATGTTGCCATGAATTCGTAGGTATATTTTGTTGTTTAAAATGCAGTTGTCGGCGTTTTTAAGAGAACTCAAATATAAAAATGGTTGATTTTAAGGTTATGTTTGTGCAAAAATTATTAATTACTAATTTCTTAAAATGTCCAAACTTAAATATAAATTATATTAGGTAAAGTTGTCATTAGTTAATTTTGCACCAACAAATGTACTAACCGAATTGGATCCTTTGGCAAAACATGAAAATGCAACGATTTAGTTCTTGAATTTTATTTACAATTAAAAACGCAATAATTCACCATGATCCCTTAGGTAAAATACACACACTAACGTAACTATATAAGCATTTAAGCGTTGAGTTTCTTAATCAATGATATAAGGAATAATCAATCGAAATCGAGTACTAAAAAAGTTTTTTAGTGAAAAAACAACCTATTTATTTAAAAATTATGTACAGTTCGTATACTGTTGACAATTCTTAAATACACGCAATGCTTTTGAAGTCCACTAGATGGCGCGCGCGTTGCGAAAACCCGATACTTCTTTAGCGTATAATGTAGATAACAAACAAAGGCATAAATTTTAGGTGCTTTTTTCAACTTTGACGAGGCTGTAATAAAAAAATCGCTTAACAAAATATGGCACTGCGTGATGTTGTGGGAGCACACGCCACAAACCCACAAGCAACTTTTGATAATTCTACTGGAAAAAGCGCTGCCCCATTTAGAGAAACCTCTCCTTTTAACGGACTTTTTCATGGACTCGTTGGACGTGGGCGGTCCAGTGAGCCTTCTAGCCCTACAGGGAATATTCACCATGATCCAGGTCCACAACTTGGACTACCCGAACATATTCGCCAAACTGTACTCGATGTTCGAGCCCGAGATTTTCCACACGAAGTACAAGGCCAGGTTGTTCTACCTGTCGGATCTTTTCTTGAGCTCCACGCATCTACCTGAAACCCTGGTCGCTGCTTTCGCTAAGAGGTTGGCACGACTGGCGCTCGTCGCGCCATCTGAAGACGTCATCATCATCTGCCATTTCGTGGGTAACCTGATTCTAAGGTAAGAAACTTCGTACAAGTCTTGTACCACAAAAAAACAAGGTATGTTCTTCACTAGGACCAAATATCCATAAAATTATTCGATTTTTTTTTATTAAATTGTCGAATAATTTGAAGATCACACGTAAAAAAACGATTTAAGTTAAAACTATAACATTTCAATTTCAATATAACATTATTAATGAAAAAAAAAATTTACATGTTTTTTCAATCAAAATATATTGTTTTAAAGTAAATAATATTTACTAAATACCAAATAAAATATATGAAAACAGTGCAAAAAAATTATATAGTTTTTAGGTTAAATGTTTTTCAAATAAAATAAAGTATCCTGTTTTAAAGAAATGAAAGTGTCAAGTACAACTAACTTTTAGTTGCCAAATAAAAACCCTAAATTGGCCACCATACGCTAAAGAAGTATCGCTAGTAGCGCCACCACTCGTAACAAAAGTACAACTTTTGATAATCAAACGCTTATGTTACAAACGAGTGTTTTTGAAAATAAAGCCGGAAAATATTAAAAAATATCGAAAAAAACCGTGGCACGATTTGTTTTGTTGTTGGGTGTATCTCGAGAGGAAATCCTTGAGTTTTTATCGGTTTTCCAATAAACAGTGTTAATCCGAATAAAGAAATAAATTGCATACAGTCTCTGTAAATATAAATTGTACCTGTTAGATACAGTAAATATACATTTTAGTAGTGATTAACGTGAAAAGTGTAAACATTTCAATTTAGTAAAAATCGTCAAACAAATAAGTCGTCTAAACTTAAACAGCATTTAGCATTATTAAAAGCGTTGATTTAGAAAGTCTCCACTCAACGGTAAAATACCATTATATTATGTATTATATATAATATGTTGCCATGAATTCGTAGGTATATTTTGTTGTTTAAAATGCAGTTGTCGGCGTTTTTTTTAGAGAACTCAAATATAAAAATGGTTGATATTAAGGTTATGTTTGTGCAAAAATTATTGTTTGCTAATTTCTTAAAAATGTCCAAACGTAAATATAAATTATATTAGGTAAAGTTATCATTAGTTAATTCTGCACCAACAAATGTACTTACCGAATTGGATCCTTTGGCAAAACATGAAAATGCAACGATTTAGTTCTCGAATTTTATTTACAATTAAAAACACAATAATTAACCATGATCCCTTAGATAAAATTCACACACTAACGTAACTATATAAGCATTTAAGCCTTGACTTTCTTAATCAATGATATAAAGAATAATCAATCGAAATCGAGTTCTAAACCAGTTTTTTAGTTTTTTCTTGCAACGTAAAACACAAATATCGTGCGCGATTTAGCTGTGCAATTAAATGAAATTTGTCGAGTAAGACTTCTGCCTTCCTCTCTTTTAAGAAAAAACTACCTATTTATTTAAAAATGATATACAGTTCGTATGCTTTAAATGTATTGTTGACAATTCTTAAATTCACGTAATGTTTTTGAAGTCCACCAGATGGCGCGCGCGTTGCGAAAACCCGATACTTCTTTAGCGTATTGGACGTTACTTGATTATTGTTGACATTAACTTAAATTAATATTTTTAATTAAACATTTCTGTAAAGGCCCAGTACAAGGAAAGCTTTTGGCTTAAAATGCTATTATTAAGACACGAAACTTACATTACATAATCAGACTTAAGCCTGATTTACAGATTGTCTTCCATCCTCCCGTAAAAGATGAACAATACGAAAACCGTAGTGCCGTTTATAGATTGCCGTACGGGATTGTATTGTTCATCTTCTACGGGAGGAATGGAGGCAATCTATAAATCAGGCTTTATATGTTTGCTGGAAGGGGTAAAAAAAATCGACGTTTGAACTGTTTGCAGACACCCGGGTCTGAAATGCCTGCTGAACAACGCAAACAGCGGCATGTCGAACGAAGATCCCTACATAATGGAGGAAAGGGACCCCCTGAAATCGAACGCGATCAGCAGCTCCCTCTGGGAGCTGCAAACTCTGCAGCAACACTGCCAGCCCAGCGTTGCCACCGCCGCGCGTTTCATTAACGCGCCGTTGCCGAGCGTCGAGTGGGATCTGGGCCAGATACTTGACAACACCGGCGACGATATTTTCGACAAGGAGGTAAAAAAGTTCAGCAAGTTGATCGTGTTGCAATTCGAGAAGCCCAACGGGGGCGCTTTGAGTAGAGGAGAGAAAGTTTTGCAGTTTTGGGATTTGTAAAGATTTATGGTTTTTTACTATAAAAAACCATAAATGTCACTTTTGTGCACTTTTTTTAGTCTCAAGGTGCTCCCCAAGAAGTTACGCTAGTTTTGTCATTCATTTAACATTCCTTTGACAAACTTCTTTTTATATTGTGATTAGGTATTACACACATATCTAAAATTGTTGGTGTCATCCAAACTGTATTGGATTTTTATTATTTTGATTTATTTAGTGGTAAAATGCCTAAACTATATGAACATACTATTGCTGTGTTATTTTATATAAATAATGTTAGGTTAGTTGTGTTAACATATATAAAAACTATGTGTTACAAAATAAATTGTTGCTTTTTCTAAATAGGTTTTTAATTTAACCCAGTTGGAACAAACCTTTTTAATAAATCCATTTTGGTTGGCAGCTCTGAATATTTTCTATGGTTTCCGGATTTCATTTCCGTACAAGAGTATGCAGAGTATTTAGATCAAAGATGCGTTTAAAATTAATGCACAAAGTATCTAATTTTCCATTAATAAATACTAAACTAATCTTTGTAAATATTTGTTTATTATCCGCACTGCTGCCAACAAAATAAAAAATATTACATTTGTGTATAACCTAACTTTTGAGCTCCCCGAAAACTTGTTTTTAACGTTAAAACTCGCGTATATCGGGTTTGGTGAAAATATTCTTCTTATTAAAGTGCCAAAGGTGGATTTAGTGAACTTTTTGTGCGGTTTGTGTTTGCCAACTTTTATTGTTTTGTGTGGGACAGGATTTTGATACTTTGGATGATTTTTAGGAGGCTTACAAACAACTACTTGCGACTTTTCCTATTGTTTTAAACCAATTTTATTAAATTATTTATAATTAACTTTGGAAGTATTTTAAAAATTCACTAATTAGCAAGACCCAACCCCTTTAATAATATAGGTATTTTGATTATTTCTGTTATAAAGCTATATAGGTAGGTGGTTTAATAGAAATGCAGATGTCAAGGACGAGGGGTAAGTATGAGGCGCCGTTTGTGCCATAATTATGATTTATAAAATATAGAATTATTTGTAAAAATATAAATATTTTTTTTTTATATAAATAATTTGTTTGAATTATATATATTTTAACTCATTTTCTAAGATATATATTAGTTTTACTAAAATATATAATATTTTAACTAAATAATATATATTTAAAACAGTAATACTAATAATATAAACTCAATACTAATAATATAAACTCAATACTAATAATATAAACTAAGCTTACAAGACGTAACGCTAGGAGGCGCTGGCAGCTTTATTTAACTTGGCAACGCAGCCTTTCTTTCATTTCATGTGAGAATTACAGTGGTGTAAATTAAATAACTTTTTGCCGCACTTTGGCTTTTTGTTATTTTTTATATGTTTAACTGGATGTTTATTGTCGTGACTCTCTTTTTAAACAATAATTTTTTATTCCTTAATTCTGGGCTACGCAAAACTATGTCGTCGATTTGGTTCCATTACTGCGGTGAAATTTTAAATGACCTATTAATCTGTTAGATTTTAATTTAAACTTATACCCAAGTGCTTTATTACGTACCAGAGGTATTATTATTTTTAATGTATCTTCTAGTTTTATTTAATTTACACCACAGTAATTCCGACATGCAATTACAGACAGGCTGCGTTGCCAAGTTAAATAAAGCAGCCAGCGCCTCCTGGCGTTACGTCTTGTAAGCTGAGTTTATATTATTAGTATTAAAATTATATTATTAGTTCAACTGTCCAAATATATAAATATTTTAAATATATATTATTTTGTAAAAATATTATTATATTTTAGTAAAACTAATATATATGTTATAAAATAAGCTAAAATATATATATTTTAGATAAAATATTTATATTTAAAACAAAATATATATTTATTTTAGAAATTATTATATATTTTACAAATCATAATTATGGCACAAACGGCGCCTCATAGGTAAGTGAGTTTATATTTATTTTTTGTTTAAAGTGGTCCATATACTTTTAGGCCATTTTGATTGACACATTTTGGAATTTTCCATACATAACTACTGATTTTTAGTAGAATAAAAATAAACAAATAAATATGTAGTTTATTAAACCCTAATATTATTATTGTGTGGGATATTTTACGATTTTGTATTAAAATTGTTAGGTACTTAAAAATGATTTATATGTAGCTACTAGTTTATTAAACCCTAATATTATTATTGTGTGGGATATTTTACGATTTTGTATTAAAATTGTTAGGTACTTAAAAATGATTTTGTTCATCAAAACAAAAAACCTATTGATATATTTTTAGGTTGGTATTAATTATAGGATCCCCACAAAAAATTGCAATCTTTTTAAAAGTACTTACCTACCTAAACATTTTAACAAAACAAGAATAACATTTTCAGTTGAAGTATTTTTTTATTTGCTTAATTTTGACTAATTTTTTTACAAGTAGGTAACGTTTTTAATAGGGCAAGTTCTAGTGGTTTATTTGGGTGTGAATCAGCATTTCTAATGCACGCAATTTTCAATTGTATTAACATTATAAATCAGCATTCTAAAATGTTTAATTGACATTTTTTAATGACTTTATTATAGTGATGAATAAACTGGTTTAGGTTTTAAATGAGGTTTTTTAGTGAAAGTGCTTGTTACCATTGTGAATCAGCATTTTAAATACCTACTAAAGTAGTATTTTAATGCTTTATTTTGAGCCATTTTTAATAACGGTATTTTTTAATTGTCTTTATTTTTACCATTGTGAGTCATTGTTTTAATGCTTTCATTAATATATTGTTGTCCTTTTTCTACAAAGAATTTTTATTACTTAGAGTGCTAGTTAATTTGTTTTTACCATTTTGAATCAGCAATTAAATTAGTTAAGGGTAAGAAAATTTAGAAGGTTTACCATTAATCAGCGTTTATGCCATTTTTTGCATTTAAAAAGCTAATTGATTTCATTTTGACCTAGTAAATCAGCATTTTTAATCATTAATTTTAAGCATTTCTTAATGGATTTTGACCAATTAGTGGTGTTTTAAATAGTGCAAGTGCTGGTTTATTTGTATTTTACCATTGTGCATCAGTATTATTAAATGCTTTAAAATGTCATTGTGATGCTTTGGGTTTGTTTATTATCAGTGTTTAAATAAGTTCGAGTGCAACACTTAATACTACACCATTTAATGAAAAGTTTCTAATAAGTAATGTATGTGTATGAGAGTTTACCTACCATTGTGAAAAAGCGTTTTAAAATGCTTTTGAATTTATGAAGCTTAATTTACATAATTTTTGTATGTTCATTTGCTTCAAAACAGAATTTTAATACCTAATTTTACGCCATTTTTTGTATTTAATAGTAGAAGTGCAAGTTTTTTGAGTGGCTTCATTTTTAGGGAGTGGTTTAATTTGATTATTTTATATAGTGCAAGTGCTAATTAGCATTGAAAATCAGCATTTTTTGATATGCTTAATTTTGATGTATCTTTTTTAAAAGTAACGTTTTTAATAGTGCAAATTCTAGTTGTTTATTTGGATGTGAATCAGCATTTTTAAATATCATTTGATTGCTTTATGCGCGCAATTTTCAATTATATTACCATTGTAAATCATCATTCTAAATTGTCACTTTTTAATGACTTTATTATAGTGATGTATGGTTTGAGTTTTAAATGAGGTTTTTTATAGTGAAAGTTTAAATCAGCTATTTTAAATGCTGTATTTTTTAATTGACTGTATTTTTACCATTGTGAATCATTGTTTTAATGCTTTCTTTTATATATTCTTATGTCCTTTTTCTACAAAGAATTTGTATTACTTAATGTGCTAGTTAATTTGTGTTTTACCATCTTGAATCGGCAATTAAATTAGTTAAGTGTAAGCATATTTAAAGGGTTTACCATTATGAATCAGCGTTTATGCACTTTTTTGCATTTATAATGCTAATTAATTTTATTTTGACCTAGTAAATCAGCATTTTAATGATTAATTTTAAGCCTTTCTTAATGGATTTTTACTAATTAGTGGTGTTTTAAATAGTGCAAGTGCTGGTTTATTTGTGTTTTACCATGTGAATCAGCATTATTAAATGCTTCAAAATGGCATTGTGCTGCTTTGGGTTTGTTTATTATCAGTGTTTAAATTAGTACGAGTGCAAGTTTATTTAGGAGGTTTACTGTTGTGAATCAGCGTTTTAACACTTGATACTGCACCATTTAATGACAAGTTTCTAATAAGTAATGTTTATTAGTATAAGTGCCGGTTAATTAAGGTTTTACCTTATTGAATCAGCATTTTTTAATGCTTGAAAATATCATTTTGCGTCATTTATTATACCTACATACCTTATAGCCATTTTAAATGCTTACTGTATTTTTTAGTTGACAGTATTTTTACCATTGTGAATCATTGGTTTAATGCTTTCTGTTATATATGTTTATGTCGTTTTTCTACGAAGGATTTTTTAATACTTAATGTGCTAGTTAATTTATTTTTACCATTTTGAATCAGCAATTAAATTATTTAAGTGTAAGCATATTTAGAAGGTTTACAATTGTGAATCAGCGATTATGCACTTTTTGCATTTATAATGCTCATTGATTTTTTTTCTAGTAAAAAGTGTGTTTATCACCAAAATTTAATTTATTCTTAATGGCAAGTGCAAGTTCATTTTGACCTAATAAATCAGCATTTTTAATCCTGAATTTAAAGCCTTTCTTAATGGATTTTTACTAATTAGTGGTGTTTTAAATAGTGGAAGTGTTGGTTTATTTGTGTTTTACCATTGTGAATCAGCATTATTAAATGCTTCAAAATGGCATTGTGATGCTTTGGGTTTGTTTATTATCAGTGTTTAAATAAGTTCGAGTGCAAATTTATTTAGGAGGTTTACTGTTGTGAATCAGCGTTTTAACTGCACCATTTAATGACAAGTTTCTAATAATGTTTAATAGTACAATTGCCCGTTCATTAAGGTTTTACCTTATTGAATAAGCATTTTTAAATGCTTTATATTATCATTTTAATGCGTCATTTATTTGTATGTTGGAGGGTTTACCTACCATTGTGAAAAAGCGTTTTCAAATGCTTTTGAATTTATGAAGTTGGAAAAGAAAGTAGCGTTAAAAATATAAACTTACTCTTGTGTGTACTGTGACTATTCAACAGTAAAAACCTACGATTTACAAATGCACATCTATAACAAGCATAAGAAACAAAATTCGTTAGAAAAGAAGGTAGCGTTAAAAATTCAAAATAAATCGTGTATGTACTGTGACTAATCAACGGTGAGAACCTATGCTTTACAAATGCACATCTTTAGAAAACACAAATTGCAAACTGAGTTTAAAAATG